CCAGGTTTCTCCACAGCCGAGCCTGCATTTGGTCTCACCCTTGTTTTTTTCTCCTTCTGCCTTAAAAAGTGACATCTATTCAAAGGGGAAAAAATGACAAGATGTCCATCCTTTGGCTCCGTTCCCTCCCCCTCCTGTTGTTCCTTCCCAGCCCCTCAGGAATAAACCCTGTCCAGGGTGAGGCAGCAGGACAGATAGCCCCTCCTCTCAGATGAGGTCAGCAACATTGAGGGTCATCTCCTCAATGCAGGAGTTGTAGGTCTCGGTGTCTTAGAGTCCCCTTGTCTTCTGCCATCATGGTAGTAGCCACATCTGTATGGCCAAAACATCCACCATGACCAATTCTGTAGATACAGTTTTCCCTGTTGGTGGGAAGGTCATAGTTGGATGACTAACGAAACTTTGTTGTACATCAAAACCTCTGGCCAGTAGGTCAGTGGTAATCGGTTCTCTGCTAGAAACAAAGGGAGCGCCCTCATAATCCCACCTCATTCCTTTTGTCCCAATCTCCATGCATAGTGGAAATAGGGCATGCATCTTCTCAGTGAGCCAGTCAGCCTTCCTCCAGGTATTGATGAAGATGACTGCCTGGGTGATGGTCGAGGTTTCATCCAAGTCCCACAGTGTGTCAGCTTTCACTCCTCATGTTCGACATTGATGTAGAATTAGAGGATATCCTCTACGGTCAAGGTCAATTCTTCTTTCTTGACCAGAATCCTAGTGGGGTCCCTCATGAGCTTGGTCACCTCAAGCACATCAGAAGGCACTGTAACCGACAACAAAATGACCTGGGTGCTGCTGTTGAGTTTTTGGAATATGTGGTAGATCTCGTCCTTGACGCCATGGCTTAACGCCTTATTGACTTCATCCAGTGCACACATTTTGATATATTTGGGAGACAGGTATCTTGGATTAGGCATGTTGAATGAATGGCCTGGGATACCCATGATGTTATGGGCAGCCTCTACCTGCAGCTTCTGCACTTTAGCACACACATTGGCACCCCCAATGCAGCCATGGCAGGAGGCAGCTATGTAATCTCATAGTGCCATCACTGCTTTCTGTATTTGCTGGGCCAGTTCTCGAGTGGGAGCCAGAACCAAGGTCTGGGTAGCCTTTAGATCTAATTCAATCCGCTGCAGGATTGATTTGGCAAAAGTGGCCATTTTCCCAGCCCCAGGTTGGGCTTGTGTGATCACATCATCACCTTTGATAGGCTCACTGCTGGATGGCAGAGGGCTTCTCAATACCATGGGGGTAGACGCCTCGATGAGAGGCTCGTGCCATTGAAGCTTTTAACAATCTCATTCCATTTACTCTGGATGACGCCGTGGGGATCCTGACTTCAGACGTGAACCTTAGAAACTAGGTCACCCCTGGTTTTCATTGAAGTTGATCTGATGGCAGGTCAGTGACACTGCATCGTGGTTTTAATTTTCATTTCTCTAATGGCCAGTGAGGCCTGGTAGCATGTATGGGCTGTGCGCTGAGCTACTGACTGCAAGGCCAGTGGTTTGAACCCACCTTGGGGAGAAAGATGAGACTGTCTGCTCCCTTAAAAGATTTCCAAAGTCCTGGAACCCCCAGGGGCAGTTCTCCTCTGTCCTGCAGGTGGCTATGAGTAGAACCGCCTGGCTGGCAGGGAGAGTGTGGTTTGGGGTTCGGGTGACCAGGGGCAATGTTGAGCGTTGCTGTGTGCCTGCCAAGCATCTTTGTGTCCTTTTTGAGGAAAATGTCTGCTCATGTCTTTTGCTCATTTTGAAATCAGATTTCTTTTTTTTTTTTGAAACAATATTACAACATAGTTTATTAGTAGGGGAGCCAGTATTAGAATTTGCTTATTTTTTAAAAATCAATTTATTGGAGCTCATAAAATTCATCACAATACATAGATCAATTGTGTAAAGCACATCTATACATTTGTTGCCCTCATCATTCCCAAAATTCGCTTGCCTCTTGGTTTGAAATCAGATTTCTTAAAAGATTGGAAAAATATGTTCTCATGGGGTTTTTAAAAATGAGATGTTTTCCATATAACATTACGCTTTTAGGGTGTGCAGTTTGTTGATTTTCAGCAGGTCGACGAGATGATGCACCTCACCACTCTCAAATTTGAGAATATTTTTATTACCCCTGTGCTGCCTTAACTGGTACTCTCTGCTTTTTATCCGGGTTATAGTGTCCATAATTGCAGTGCGTACACAGAACTCACAGTATTCATGACTAAAGAGTTTATTAAAGGAAGCTAACAGGTGGTCATGCAAGTGAGAAATGCTTAGGATCAAGTTGTTCATTAGGACATGTTAAAGAGTTCTTTTAGGGCTGCTAATTAAGTGCCCAGAGGGGCACCACTCCAATGAGCCTCAGCCTGAAGGCACTCAGCTCCACCTCCGTGGGTCAGCAAGTCCAGCTCTCCAGTTAAGTGACCAGAGGTACCACGCGTGCAATCCAGCCACCTGCCCCAAAGCATTCAGCTTGACTTGCTCTGTGAGCTGGGAAGTCCACTGCTCTGCTTCCTGCTCTTGGCTCCTGGGTCTGCTGCTGCACCTCTGATGTCACAGCGGTCTTGTAGATCCAAGAGGTTCGCTATGCAGGAGCCTCTGGTCCAGAGGATACACCCCATTCCAGGCTCTTGCTAGTGAGATCCTCACCCCCACCCCACCCCAGTTTCTCAGAGGGCTCATTTTATACCCAGCAGGATAGCATACCAGTGAATCCTGTGTCAGCATCTTCCCCCACCTTCTTATCAGACCCATACAGGAAAAAGTCATTTGGTGGGAGCCAGAGACTTTGGCCACATTCACTGATTCCACTGCTCCTTCAGCCCCAGGAAAGACCATTATCTGCTAGCAGTGGGTCTCCATGCCCCCAGTTCCTAATTTCTGATGACTCCTCATCTACTTTCTGTTTCTGGATTTTCTTCCTCTAGGCTTCTTATTTAAATAAAATCCCACGTCCCACAATATATAGCCCTATGTGCCTGGCTCCTTGCACTGGGAACAGTGTTTTCAGGATTTATCATGCGGTGGCTTATTCCAGCCTTTGTCCTTTTTTGTTGTGCTTGTCCACCACTTGCCCAGGGACATTTGGGCGGTTCCACTCTGGGGTGGGGGAAGGGTGAGGCAGACTGCCATGGCTTTTGTGTGGACTTGCCCTCCCTTCTGTGGAGTGAGAGTTGGCGTGGCATTGCTGGGCCTGAAACTCTGCCTCTGCCTTCCTGAGGGATGGCCTGCATGTTGGCCAGGAGCTCAGGCTCCAGAGGGTGCCCCTAGGGCCCCCTGATGGCAGCCTTGAGCTTTCCTTAGGTGTTGACTTGAGTCAGGTGGCCGCTCAGCATCAGCAGGGGCTTCTCTGAGCCGTCTTCAGCGTGCTCCCTCCAGTTGGGCTGTGGCAGAGCACACACTTTAATCCTCATGAAGGCCGGGGTGTCAGTGCTTCCTTTCATGGATTTTTTTTTTTTTTAATGTCTCGACTAAGATTCTGCCTCATCCTAGTCTTCTAAGGTTTTCTAGTTTTACATTTTTCCTTGACAGCTGTTTTGTTTGAATTGATTTTTATACCAGGAGCGAGGTTGAGGTTCATTTTTACAGTCAGTCTTGCATTCTGCAGCGCACTCATTAGTTCCAGTAGCTCTCTGAATTTTATTCCCTGCATTCCATATTTTTCTACAAAATTTTTTCTAAAAATGGATGTACGTATGGGTTGTGATAAGAATTGTACGATCCTCCAATAAAATGATCAAACATTTTTTTTTCTAAAAAAAACACATGCCTTCTAAGTTAGTTTTCAGACTGCTCCCTCCCCTCTGAGGTGCATGCTCTGTTCATACTTTTTGTTGTTGTTGTTGTTTTTACAGCAACACGTAACACAACTGGCTGAATGGAGGTGCCTAGGGAGCACCGCGGGGGTGGTTGCAGACCTGACTCCAGAGGAGTCTCCACTCTTCCCGGTGCGCTTAGACTTCTTTCCAGGACCCAGAAAATGCTCCTCAGACTTTTGACGGTCTTGGTGTCCTCTGTGTTTGTGCTGAGTGCTGGAGCAGCTGCCGGCCCACCCTGGGATAAGCTCGGTGCCTTGATCCATCATCTCTTTCCATGTGTTGTTTGAATTGATTGGCTCTCTTCCGTGAAGCTTTGCGTCCAAATTCCCTAGGGCCTGTGGTCTGCAGCTTCCATGTGAGGACTTGGTCTTGCATGGGCCCAGGCTGTGCTGCCCTCGGAGACAAAAATGCCTGAGAATATGCTGCCTTCAGCTCTGGTAAAAAGTGTACATGGAATTGTTTGCCTCCTCATTAAGTAGTGGGCCGTGGTTGGTCACCAGGGGGTGTGTGGGTGTGTGTGTGTGCGCGCGCTCACTGTAATCACGCATCTCTGTCTGCAGTCGATCTGAGTGATCAGGCTTTTTCTCCGCCTGAGTCATCTTTGTTGTTTGAGTTGGTGAAAGAATTTCCATCTCGTCCTAGCTGTCTGATTTGTAGGCATCAAGTTGTTGGTGCCACCTGATGGTTTTCATTTTAGGTTTGTCGGGTTTAGGGTCAGGCTTCATCTGCCCCTTGACGTTTTTGTTGAAGGTGGCCTCTTCCCCAGTTGGCCAGGAGGTTTCTCAGTGTTGCTCCTCTTAAAAAAAGAACGAAGAAAGACTAGTAGAACCTTTTGGTTTCCTTGCTCTTCTCCCCTTCTTCTCATTGCTTTTTGCTCCCATTTCTCTGATCCCCTCTCGTCTGCCCTTGGGCCGGCTTGCTCACAGTCCCTTGGTTGGTGGGTCCCTCGTGCTCATGTGCAGTGCTGCACATTTCCCTCTAAGGAACCCGGTGGCAAGAGTGTGGAGCTCTCAGGTCCCCTCAGACGACACCAACAAGCGGAGCGATGGCCCAGGATGACTTTGGAGAGTGAGGTTTGCGCTCACTCCCCTCAGGCCCTCCAGCGTTGAGAACCCTGCAGGCTTCCTTGCAGGTTTCTTCTTGCTCTCGCCTCTTGTTGACCTCCCCTCTCTGTCCACAGACGTCCCCATGGCTGCCGACGAAGGCTCCGCGGAACAGCAGGGAGGAGAGGCTCACACGGCCGCCGCAGATGGTGAAACCAACGGGTCCTGTGAGAAGAGTGAAGCCAGCAGCCATGCGAACACCGCCGCCTCCGCCAAGCACACTCTGGAGCTTGTGAAGGCCGGCCCTCAGGACAGTGCCCACAAGCTGGCCCGCATCGCGGAGAACGGCCTGTCAGAGCGTGATGTCGAGGCGGGACCCCAGAACCATGTGAGGGCCGACGAGCTCACACAGACCGCCGTCGTTGGGAGCAACGGCTTCTTCCTGGCCAAGCCAGCCCTGCAGGGGCAGCCCTCTCGGACTAGCGGCCCCTCAGCGCCCCCCCTTCCTGGCCATGCCGCCAAGACCCTGCCGGGAGGAGCTGGCAAAGCAAGGACTCCAGGCGCTTTTTCTCAGATGCCAGCTGCAGTGCCAGCCAGGCTCGGAGAGGGCAGCCGGGACACTGACGACAGGCCGCTGCCCGGCCCGGGCCCCGGCCCCGATGTCAAGGTTCACCGAGCTCGCAAGACCATGCCCAAGTCCACCCTGGGCCTGGTAAGGTGTTGCCCCGTGCTCCTGGCTTCTCCCTCTGCAGCAGGCGGGCGGAAGTGTTGAGGGAAGTCACCCCTGCTCTGGGTGACTCCCCTATTCGTGGCCAGGCCACAGGTCTTTCTGGCGGTCACCTGTCTGTGACAGGGCCATGCCATGTTGGGCCTCTCCCAGAGACCTTGGACTTCTCAGTCCCTGTGTCTGTGGGAGGTGCCCGGGGAGAGGAGTGAAGGTACTGGGCTGACGCTTGGCTCACGGTGCTTCTGCTTATCCTGGTGGCCTTCCTGAGTGCCACCTGACACATGCGGAGGCCCTGCTCCGTGTCCCCTGCTGTCCCTTCAGCCTCAGGGCTGCTCCTTGGGCTCACACTTCACTGCTTTTCTTCCCTTCACACGCACTGGCTGCACTTGTGGTGGATCTTGGGTGACAGGTTCTGTTTCTTCCAGTGTCCATTCTTTGCTGAGGCTTTGGTGACCCAGATGTTGGGGGATTTCCCTACTTCATCGGGAATCTCACTGGGGAGCCCGGCCTTGCCCTCAGGCCCTGCCATACCCCACCCCAGACTGGGCCCTCTCTAACTCATCTCCCTCCTTGTGCACGGACTGCACTGCCCCCACCCCTTTCACACTGGAGGACAGTGGGTCCACAGATGTCTCTTGTGTCTGGGCTGGTAGGAGATCCCAGCAGCGATTTCTTGGGCGCCTGCCCCAGAGCACTGCTCTCATCTTTCCTCCTCAGCTCTCTTGCCAGCCTCCTCGGACGGCCAGGCTCTGGAGCCCACGGGGCCCTGGTGATGCAGGCGCTGTCCTCTAACCCCAGCTCTCCATGCTCCGCCCACAAGGCTCCCTATGTGTCATCACACTGGCTGTCTGCCCTCTGGGCTTGTCGTGGGTGACAGACACAGAGTGTAAGAACGCGCATGTCCCAACAGGCCGAGTGTATCCTGGCTGTCGCCTCGGCTGTTGACAGTGTGTGCTGTGCACCTCCGCTACGTGCACACTCTCCCCTAGCTGGGCCATCCTGCCGAGGCTCCATCACTAGGTGTGGAACAGGTGATGGCCCGGGCTGGGCCTCCATCTCGGCCCACTTGGTCACCCCACCGAGTGTACTGTGCGTGCTGCTCGAGTGGGACTGGATGAGGGCTCCTGGGAGCAGTGGTTAAAGAGCTCACCCACAGACAGAAAAGTCTGTGGTACCCAGCTCTTAAGGAGGGTTGGGTGGAGCTATCTGCCTCTGTTAGGGTTCACAGTTTGGTGGCGAGGGAGACTGTGGCCAGCGCTGCTCTGTCCATCCAGCAGGGCCGTAGAGGAGTGGCGTTGGGTTTTCAAGGAAAGCCCGAGCTGCTCCAGGTTGAAGAACTGTTGGAGAAGTTAGGGGTGGGGGTGGAGGCGTGGCAGGGTTGGTGACGGGTGTCCAGGTAGGAGAGGTGTGAGCCTGTGTGTGGCTGGTAGCTAGGTGGATGAGCTCCAAGCAGAAGCGGTTTTACGTGTGGCTCGGTATCATGGTGGTGCTCGCACCTCTGGGAAAAGTTAAAGCAAGCCTGAGGCCGGAGGGGAGGTATCGGATGAGCTGCCCCGTGGAACTCGGAGGCTGCTCACCTTCCTGGCAGCAGAGCATTCCTGTGCTCCTGTGCAGTGGCTGGGGGTTTGACCCTCCGGACTTGCACTAGCAGCTTCACACGTGACTACCTGCTATGGTGCAGCGGGTCCTTTCTGGGGCTGTGGCACATGGCTGTGTAGACAGGCGTCCAGGCCGTTCTGAAGAGCAGTCAACACCTGGTTGTGTTGTTGCAGGATCCTGCAGAGGGCCAAATAGGAAACACTTGAGGCTCACGCCCATGTGCCTGCTCCGTCCTTTGTCTGGGGGTCCTGACCTTGCTGGTCTCGAGCCTTGTGCCTTTCCATTGAGGGGCTCGGTGGGGCGGGTGGCAGCTTCCGGGAGGAGGCCTCTTGCATGGACCTGTGGTGACTGACTGACTGTGTTTGAAGCACGTGGCTGGCATGGAGACCCGAGATGTCCGAGAGGCCAGAGACCACCAGGAGTTGAAGGAGGAGACCTCCAGGGGCCTGGCTGATTTCGGGAGGCGGCAGCTCTTAGCCCCGTTCCCGCCCCTGCATCAGTCGCTACCTCAGAACCAGTGCTATGTGGCCACCGCGAAGTCCCAGACAGGTAGGCTGCAGCTGTGTGCGCTGCTCCCAGCCCCATGCGCTCCTGCACGTGCCTGCCCCTGTGTACCGTTGCACTCTGGCTGGGCTACTGGGACGGCGGCGGCGTCTGCTCAGGACCCTGCTCTGGGATTTGGGAGGTTGCCTGATTCCTTCCGGGAATATTCTCAGGAGCATGTGGTGCTTTAGACTTAAGCTTAAAGAGATCCTTGGACTGGCCACCCACCACCTGTCTGCATGACCTGTCGGGTAGCCAGATCCTCAGCCACTACGACAACATAGGAAGATAGTCACCTTGGGGTGAGGGCACCCCGCCCCCTTGAGCAGAATGAACTGGGCACTGTCTCTGCAGAAGTGATGGCCCTTCCAGCGAGTCAGCCTCTGTGTGTGTGTGTGTGTGTGTGTGTGTGTGTGCATGTGTGAGCACACACTCATGTGCTAGTGAGTTAAGTGTTTGCTGACTCACCACAGCCTTTGTGCACATGGGATGCGGAGGGGGCAGCCATGTCTGGGCCTGGTGGGGGCCATGGGACCTGAAAGACATTGGGCAGAGTTGTGTCTCTAGTTACAAGTGGATGTCTTTTTCTGGACATTACACTCTCTTGTTAATCACATTCAGAAACCCTGTGAGAAATCTGTGAGGAGTTAGTTCCCTGTGTGAGCTCACTCACCTGACCCCGGGGGCACATCACTGCCCATAGATAGCTTTCATGTGTGAATCATGCGGCTGCCCTCTGAAAGTTACCGTCTGGTAGTCCCACAGTGTCTGTGGAGAAGGAGAAGCAGCCGATGAGGCTCTGGCCCCTGAGTGGTGCCGGTCATGTTCTCCAAACTGTGGTCCTGCGTGCTTTGACCACTACCCTAATGTGTCCCGTTCCCTCTCCCCACTCCTCACTGTGGTGGGCCATTAGGTTTCGTATGGGGAGCTCAGTAAGTATGGTGATAGGGATTGTTTTTTGACCAATTCATTGTTTGGCAACAAGGTGACTCTGGATCAGCACCGGGAAGCCCTGCAGTCTCAGCCTGTCCAGCCAGTTTGTTTTTGGTTACTTCTTAGGAATTTGATGCTGTTCTACAGTTTCCTGTTACCCCAGCAGGGTCCCTGCTGGTTGGAGTGACTGGTAGTGGCAGCTGATGGACTTTGTCCTATGCCACAGGGCTGCTTTCTAACCTGCATCTGTGGTCAGCTCTGACCAGCTGGTCTGTGAGTTGACCTTCTTGAAGTGCTGACAGCCTCTCAAGTGCTTAGAGCTGCAGTTTGGGACACCCACCTGCTCAGTTGTCCTGTGTCCCCATCTCCTTTATCCCCTACATGGCTCAGCCGCGCCACATTCTTCTTGTCTCTGCCGGTTTGAAGACCAGTGCATTGTAGGTGCTCCAGGCTGGTGGCTGGTGTTTCCTCTGATGAATGTCACTGGATGGCGTGTATCCTAGCCTGTTACACATAATGAGCCCCTGTGGTTAGGGTGCATGTGCACCCCTCCGCCGTGGAGTGGAGTGGTGATACAGAGGCCCCTGTGGTCAGGGTGTCCTCTGCTGTAGGGCAGCTAGTGTACAGGATATTGGTCAGGGTGTCCTCTGCTATGAAGTGCTGGGGGCCCGTGCTGTAGGGTGGAGGCTCATCATCTTCAGCCCCCATAGAGTCATTCTGTCTGGTAAGGCCAGAGACTTCGGGGGCAGTAGGTGGCATTCACAGTCAGGCGGGCTTGGTATCAGAGGCAGGGAGCACCCTGCCCCCATAGAATGTGGAGCTATGTGTGGAAGCTGAGTTCTGACTTCTCTGTGCCAGTCACTAGTAAAGAAAGCCCGTTTGTGCATGCCGTGTTGCAGGGTGGCCGGCCCTGAAGCATGCTGGCCTGATGTGGTGGCATTTGCTGATAACTGTTTATCAGATTTTGTAAACTGTCAGTTGTCTTTAAAGACATTTGAATGGTATTTCTTTTCCTTTTTTCCCCTTTTTGACTTTTTTTTTTTTTTAGCTTGCTTGCCTTTTGTTTTAGCAGCTGCAGTATCTCGGAAGAAAAAACGAAGAATGGGAACCTATAGCCTGGTTCCCAAGAAAAAGACCAAAGTGTTAAAACAGAGGACGGTGATTGAGATGTTTAAGAGTATAACTCATTCCACTGTGGGGCCCAAGGTAAGGCCACGCTGGAGTGAATTTCCCTGTGTGCTTGGAAATGTGCGTGTCAGAGCCCGTCTGCAGGAAGAGCACGTGTGAGGTCAGCAGTGGTTGGAGGACCTCATCTAATCCCTGAAGTCATTAGTAGCTTGGATGACTGTCATCCCTGTTGTGTGAGGTCATCAGTATCTTGGATGACTTCACTTGCTACCATATGAGGTCATCAATAACTTGAATGACTTTCATCCCTATCCTGGGAGGTAGTCAGTAAGTTTGGATGGCCTTAGTTCCTGTTGTGTGAGGTGGTCAGTAAGTTGGAGGACCTTTTTCCCTATCCTGTGAAGTCAGCAGTAACTTGGTGATCTTAGTTCATGTCCAAGAGACCCAAGCTCTACAGCTCTCTTCTGCTATGGCGACATAGCCTCTGTGTCCACTTGGGTCACTGAAGCACCAGCTCATCCTGCTGCCACCTTGGTGGGTAGTCAGGCTGCATCCCTACTTCCTCAGCAATGCCATGGCCCTGAGTGGTCCTGCCCATGTATCTGCCACCCTTGTTCCAGGGCGAGAAGGACCTGGACGACAACACTCTGCATGTGAATGGAGAGAGTCTGGAGATGGACTCGGAAGAGGAGGACTCCGAGGATCTGGAGGAGGAGGATGAGCACGGGGCTGAGCAGGCAGCAGCTTTTCCCACAGAGGACAGCCGGACTTCCAAGGAGAGCATGTCGGAGAGTGACCGGGCCCAGAAGGTAGGGTCTGCCGACGACTGGGAGAAGTGGGGTGCGGAGAAGCTTGCAGGCTAGACCATGGGCTCTACAGACCAGCAGCCTGGCGCTCTGGGCCCTAATCAGTCCCTGTGTATGCTTGGTGACCTGCTCTTGTACTTCTCCCACATTATTGTTTAATTCCCTTAAGAGAAGTGTTCTCTTTCTCAGAGGCAGTCGTTGAAGTCAGCCTCCTGAGCTTTTCCTCCTCAGCCCTAGACAGCCCCTGGGAAACTCTATGCTAATGGCCCAGACTGTTCACCGATGGATCATGGCGGCCAGCAGCAGCTGCTTGTTAGAGGCTTTGGTGTGGGTTCTCCTCAGTCATGGGCACACACCACAGGACAGTCACTCCACAGGGTGGCTGGGCAGGGCTTGCACCTGCTCTGTAGGGAGCTGCTGAGGATTGAGAGGCCCGCATCCTCACCAGTAGGGTGTGTCCACTGCAATGCGAGGCCTGAATGTCTTACACTTAGTTCTGTTGGACCTTGGCTCATCAGCTGGGTGGGGCAGGCATGCTCTCTGTCTGATGAGGGAGGTGTGTCTGTCTGTCTGACTCATACCATGTTTCAGGCTTGTGTTCCAGAGGTGATAATTTCATGGTAGCCATCACAGCACTGAAGTCCCAGTGGCTGGCCAAGCACAAGAACTGTTTCCGGGGGTTGCTGCGGGGATGGCCACCTGGGCTGCCTACGTGTAAAAGGGTAGTTGTAATAACATTAGAAAAATCTGACTGCAGAAGGGTTACCGGCTGGTTCAAAACTGAGATCAGACACACTTCCACTCTCTAACCTATGTTGCAGTGGCTACACAGGACTCACCAATCATACTTAGAGTTAAGTAATATATTAAGGAAGCAACCAGCTACAACAAGGTCAGCAGGCTGTAACTTGGGATTAAGATCAGCAGGTTACTTTTCAGGCTCAGGATCAGAAGGCGTGAAGCAAAGTCTCTTTTCTTCATTATAGGGCAACTCTCTCGGCTTCCCTAGATCATACAAGCTCCTCTCGGCCCTGCTGTCTGTCACCACTGGCTTTGCCATAGTTCCTTCCAGGCCCTTTGTAGTCTTCATTGTCAACAGCTCTTGATCCTTATAGAAGCTTCCGAGGAGGCTCCTTTGCTCTGTTTTCTTTTTCCTTTTGCCTCTTTTTCTCTTGATCCATCCTGCTTCTTTATGCTTGAAAAAACCTCTCTGAGGTTGGGGTCCAGAGATGCACAACCCCTTGTCAATTTCAGGGCCTGGCCTTTCCCAGCTGTGGCCACCAGTTGACCAATCTCCCTTCTTTTTTTTTTTGCAGGTGAGATGTATTTTATTTGGGGGAGGGGGGTCATCTGGTTTCATTTTATTCAGTAGTCTGCCCTCTCTATTCAAGAGGTCCATCCTAGGACTTCCCAAGCTGGCATTGTGCCAATGCACTACAAAGTATGATAACATGGTTATTACATAATGATTATACAATGGGCCTGCTTCCAGCACCTGTGCAGTATTCCTCCTTGGTTCCCCCTGATCAACTTCCTTCAGAAGATTCCACACTTGACAATTCATTTTAAAAAAGACTATCGTTTTTCCCTCAAGCAGTTATTGGCCAATCTCTCAAGTTTGGTTTCATTTCCATGAATATTGATTGTGGATCCAAGCAAGAGGAAATCCATGGCAACTTCAACCTTTTTCCCACTTATCATGATGGTCCAGTTATGAGGATTTGGGTTTTCTTTATAATCTGTACTGAAGGCTGAAACCCAAAGCATAGAGAACATGGCCCAACCAAGGTGACACATGATCTTACCTATCACGGGTACTATTGTTACCTTCCCTATTTTATGGAAAGGAAGCTAATTCCTGGAGGGGTTATATGACTTTCCTACTATCATATAGCTACTGGTTGAGCTGGATTTGAATTTAGGTTGGCAGATTCCAGGGACTGTCTGCTAACTGCTGCTTTTAGCAGCCATCTAATTGACATCACAAATTGATTGGAGACCAGGGCATTGTGAGCCATAGGATTCTCATTGGCAGATTTTCAGTAAATCAGGGTACCATTCTTCCTACCCTCTCTTAGTCTGGGGCCTCTACTGAAACCTGTGAAGCACCAAAATGTTACCCTATTAAGAAAACAAGAAGAAACATGGCCATCAAGGCAATTCTGACTCATCGTGACTTGATATAGGGTGTCTGATGCTGTAAATCTTTACTGAAGGACACAAGCTCATCTTTCTCCCAAGCAGCGCTGACCTAGAGGTGAGCAGCCGAATGCTTACCCCACAGCAGCACCAAGGGCTCCTTCATCTGACTCAGAGGACCTCAATGAAGTCACGCATGCTAAACCCCACATCCGCAAACTGACACTCACGCTTCTGTTTCATTATAAATGCCTGACGTTCCCAGAAGCCAAAACTTAAATCAGCAAAGCAGCACTTGTCATCTCAGCTGCAGTGTATGATCAGGCTAGGAACGTCCCCAATACGCTATATAAGAAAATGAACTTAAAACTAACCGCCCATCTCCCTTCTGTAAGCCAGTTCCTTCTTCTGTATAGCAGGCTGTCAGCACCTCTTCTTGACCAATTCTGTGAGTGTATACCCCACAGAGCAGGGTGCAGCCCCAAGGGCCAGACAAAACTGTCAAACCAGCCAGTGGTCTACTGCTTTTCCAGCTAACCTGGGTCAAGGAACCAGGGCAAAAGGCAGCTTCCCAGAACTGAGGGGAAGTTTTTTCCAAGCCATTTTCCCCAAGAACCCAGGCAGAAGGCCACATCATTTCACCACAGTTCCTGCAGGTCCCCGCTGAGGGTCCAGGCTCTCACCGGTGATTTGGAAATGTCCACAGGGAAGCCTGGGCAGCTCCATTTGGAGTAGAAACTGCCTGTCTGAGTGGACTTGGGGTCCTAGGCCTAGCTTTGTGTTCTTTTTATCTGGGTGGGGTAAATTAGAAGTAATCCATTTACAAAGGCTGTGTCAGGCTAACGAGATGGGTGATTGTACTGCTCGCATGTATTGTTTTTGTTTTCACGGCTTTGGCCATCTTACTCGCGGTGGTGCGTTCCATCTGTGGGCCCTTCTAAAGCCGCAGCAGTCTGAGTGCTGGCGTGTTGCAAGAGCCATGTCTCCTGGAGGGTTGCTCTGTGTGCCACAGCCCCCTTCGTGAGAAGCATTTTCCTCTGCCTTTTAGAGGGTGGACGTCTTTCTTATATATTTCACATACATTTCTTTCATGTTTAGTGCCACTTATGCCTGTTGTATGATTTTAGGATTTGAGGAGAGTTTTGAAATATTGTCCTCAGCTCTGTCATAGTGTGTGTGTGTGGGGGGGGGGGGGAGCGCAGGGGAGGGGCCATGAAAGTTTGTTTATAGTTAGAAGCAAAAGTTAATTACCGGAAAGAACATTTTACACAATGGAGAAAAGCAAAATCTAGGGTTCTGGCAGAGTCTCTGTGGAGCTGTTGGTTTGCAGGGGCAGGTGAGCGTCAGAGAACCAGGAGGCAGCCTCACTCAGGATGGGAAGAGTCCTGGTGATGGGGGAGTCGGAATACGCCTGAAGGAAGTGGGGCTTACAATGCTTGCGGACAAAAGTTGCTAGAATAGCAGATGCAACGAGAAAATGAGAGTCTGCAGCGTAGCTGTGTGCTACAACTTCCTTTTTTCTGTTAAGCTGTGTTTTTTAGCGGTGTATTGTGAATTAGGGGGCTGTTAAACCTTTCCGTTACCGTGCAGTGGTGATCATCCTGTGCCTTTCGAGAATCTCGCAAACTAGGCTGAATACCCTCAGCCTTCTGGGCCGACCTTTTGCCTTAAATTTCCCAGAGAAACCCTTAGAAGCCACTGTTGTGATGGGACCTTCTTTTTCGGAAGGCACCTAGTGAGACCCAGACAAGGGTCTCACAGACATCCTTCCACGGGTTGCAGAGACATGCCTTGACATAAGTCGTTTGGAATAAGACTGTATGTCTGAAATAGGATACCAGCAGCAGTCAGTACTTTTTGACTTCTCTCGCTGTGGCTTTGATTTGCATTCTCTGGTGGCTAATGATGTAGAGTGTTGTTTCACGTGCTTATCGGCCACTTGTTCTGTGTGTGTGTGCACGCGCTTAATTTCCTGTGGGTAGTACCCAGTGGTGGCATTATGCCATATGTCAGCATTAGGAGGTTCACCAGACCGTTGTCCAAAGTGAGCGCTCCAGCTGCTGTAACTTCTGTACAGAATTGGCATTGCCATTGTGTAAATTTGGCCCTTTTGCAGAGGGTATTAACATTGTAGTTTTAATTTTTTGGACGTTTTCGTGTGTTTTCCTGCCATTTGGTAGTGGTTCCCATCACAGTGGTTGCTTGCTCTGCTGTGTGCCTTTGCTTAGGGAGCCCTGGTGGGGCAGGGGGTTACTGCTGGGCTGCTAACCAAAAGACCCGTGGTTTGGGCCCACAGGCCACTCCACGGGGACAGATCGTGCGAGTCTGCTTCCATAACGAGTCACAGGCGCAGAAACCACAGGAGCATTTCTTTAAAAAAAATGTTTATTAAATCATTTTATTGGGGGTTCTTACAGCTCTTAACAATGCATACATCAATTGTATTAATCACGTAACCACAGGAGCATATCTGCCCTGCCCCACAGGGTCACTTCGAGTCGAATCAACTCCACAGCAGCAGGTTTGATTGGGTCTGTGCAGTGCAGAGGTTAAGAGCTGCGCTGCCAACTGAAAGGTCAGTTCAGACTCACCAGCCACTCATGGGAGAAAGTTCAGGCTTTCTGCTCCCATGAAGATGTACAGCCTTGGACATTTCATTGTCCGTTCTTGTTGAGAATTAAAAACTACCGGTGAAGTGAAACTTGTACGAACTGGGTAAAGGTGTTAAATCCTCCCAAAAATGTGTTTGAAAGTGACATAGTCAAGGCCTTTCTGTTATCAGTTGTAAAAAAGGGATGACCACACCACCCAGCCTCTCAACACTGCAGTTAGTGGTCTCTCTGACAAGATCAGAGGGAGAAGCAATCGTATTTAGAATGACACCAGAGAAGCTCTAGAGGAGACCCAGGACAGCCAGCTGAAAGCTGACCCAGCCAGCGAGGTTGGACTCACTCACCTGTGAGCATGGTTTGGACACACCCACATCCTCGTAGAGGGACAGGAGCTGCAGCTAAGACACGCCCTCCGAGACTCAACTTCTGTTGCTATAGACACAGAGAACAGCATGGTGGGCAGGCCTGTTCCACTCACACCTGGGCATTGTGTAGAAGGTTAGGACTCTGGGAAAGTGGACACTAGGACACACACACATGGGAAGCTGTGATTCCAGGGGACCTAGGAATGAATCCAACCAGAAAATGAAAACCGTAAAAACTTAGCAAAAAGAGGTTTTATAAAAAGATACAAGTCAGTGGGAAAATCCAGGAATTATTTGAATAAGAAGCTCCCTGGTTTGTTATCCCCACGTCTGCCCATCAATTCACAATAGTTTCCATCGATATCCAACAGGGTTTTTCACAGCATGGCCATTTTGACATTATCTGGAGCTCTGGAGCTGCCTTAGCATAGTCCTGGGGAATTTACAGAGAGCCAGAGTGACTGTCAGAACCTGCTGTGATGTAATTCACGAGGGGCGATGTGTGCCAGAACCGGAAGTTAGTAGTGGGGTGGCCATCCCATGGCAACCCTGCTTGTGCCTAGAGCCTACATGGGAAGAGTATGGCTCTCACTTTGTGCATGTTGATGAGCAGCATTGGGACAGTTGACTGCTTGGTCCTTGGGGGAGGGTCAGAGACTAGTGGTCTGGCTCTAGGGGTGGAGATGGGTGCCAACTCTGTGCCCTGTAGCATGCAACTGCTAAGCTGGGTGAGCAAAGTGTCTCCGGTGAACACTGGACTTGGATGAAGATGTCGGAGTCGTCGTTTCTGATCTGGGGGTGAAGATGTCTGCCAGTGTAGACACAGCCCGAAGCCATGGACGGAAGGCCGGGCGTGGTTGCGAGCCCGAGCCTGTAGGCATCAGATGGCACAGGCAGGACTAGGGGCTAAGTTGAAAAAAGTCAAAGGGGGTAGATCATATTGGCGTTTAACAAAGGGTGTGTGTGTGTGTGTGTACGTGTGCACGACACAGTGGAAAATGGACAAGACTTTGAGGGTGAAGCAGCAGAGAGGTGTGGTGAGGGTATGGCCGGGGCCAGAGCGAGGCTGTGCAAGCTGTTACAGGTAGATGTCATTACCGGGCTGGCAGCACCATTGAGGGACCAATGCTGTCACATTCTTAAGGGTGCCCCTGTGGTTTGGGGGCTCTGCCCTGAGTAGCTGATGGGAGCCTGGCTCTCACACGCCGCTGTAGAATGGCGACGTCAGTGCACGTGCGTGAGTCCGCACCACAGGGAGTGGTGAAGGCCCTGGTTCTCCCGTGGGTGGGTGAGCAGGCACCCAAAGGAGCAGGCACACACCAGGCCTGCATGTGACACTCCCTGTCCCTGGAGGGAGCACCATGGGAGTGGTCATCACATGTGTTCTGGGGTTGTTGTCTTGGAACCGTTTTCGTATGTTTCCTTCATGGGTGGAAGCGAACGCCAGCAGGCAAATAAAGGCCCTCTGACAAGCGTGTGCTCGCTCTTCTTTGTGCCCAAATGAAGCACACTTTGACTCAGGCCCGCCTGCCTGGCCACCGGGTGGTGGAGGTCCTCAGAGGTATCAGCAGGGAGCCACTTGGGAGCTAGGCTGCTTATCTTGTGCGTGGGGGCTTGTGTTTGCATTTTACATCATTTTATGTGCTTTGAAAATGTTTACGGCGTGACAGTTTTAGTGGCTTTTGTGCTGGCTCATACCACATGTATAGTGGAATCTTCAGGGCACAATTGATGAGCTTGACGGAGGTGCATAGCAGAGACCACCGGACCAAATACAGACCCATTTGGGAAGGGACAAGTGCAGGGAAGGAGCAGGCACACTGGAGGCGGGCCTCCATTCCGGCCATGGCCGTGGCCATGGCTGCAGCCACAAGGGAGCGCATACCATGCTGGAGCGTGGACACGGCTGTCCACACATTACCTCCAGTGGTCAGAGCAGGGCTTGATCAAATCCCACCTCACCCGGATTCTGATTGCAGTTTGTGTTTTGTCTGATTTGTCTGTCACCTTGGCTGCATGGCTGGTCAGATGGATGGCGAGTCGGAAGAAGAGGCAGAGTCCGTGGACACTGGCGAGGAAGAGGAGGATGGGGACGAGTCTGACTTGGTAATGCACTCTCATGACCCCAGGGGTGGCCCCTGGGCTGTGGGGAATGCTCGAGGGCTGGAGTCCTGAAGGGAGCCAAGGGGTGTGGGTGCCAGGGTAGGAGTGGGGAAGATGACCGCAGTGGACAGGGTCACAGGCTGGTGGTAGAGTGCCCTTTATGGAAGGTGCAGATGAGCACGAACAGGGTCAGGCACAGTGTGGCTGAGTGAAGAGAGGCCGGGTGAGCGGGCACAGTGGGGTGGAGATTGAGGAGACACTGGGTGAGCGGGCACAATGAGGCGGCATGGAGGAGAGGCCAGGTGAGTGGGCACAGTGAGGTGGAGACTGAGGAGACACTGGGTGAGCGGGCACAGTGATTCAGAGTGGAGGAGAGGCCAGGTGAGCGGGCACAGTGAGGTGGAGACCGTGGAGACACTGGGTGAGCGGGCACAGTGACTCACAGTGACTCAGAGTGGAGGAGAGGCCGGGTGAGCGGGCACAGTGAGGTGGAGACTGAGGAGAGGCCGGGTGAGCGGGTACAGTGACTCGGAGTGGAGGCAAGGCCTGGTGGTGCCCACTGACATCCTGATCTGGCCGTCAGAACCAGCTTCCCTGTGAACCCTGACAGCAAAGCAGTGCCACCAGGTGTTACTTCATAGGTGTCCACTTGTCCTGTAGCATTTACACTATGACTTTATTGGAACGAACTTCTATGGAGAGCTTATATTCTGCAAATATGTCTATTTTCTGTCAAATAAATTTTCTCACATTTCTCTTTGTAGTTGTTTCAAGTAGGGATGGTGAGAGGGCCATATTATTTTAGTTCAGATTTCCCCTGACAAGTATTAGAAGGGGCTGGATTTCATGCTGGCATCTGTTTGTAATTTGTGGCAGTCACATGCCCTTTCTACATCTAGACTTTAGATCCAGATACTCAGAAACCATCTGAATTAACTGCAACCCTCCTTTTTGTTCTCCGTGTAGATGATTCATTTGGACAAAGATTTTGAAGCAGATTGAAGCATTGATTATTTCCTTTCTCATGAGCAAGATGAATGGAGACTTCATATGATTAAAAGTGTATTCTTTTATTGAGCTTATTTATATAATCCCGACGTAGAACTTTATTTTCTTTTGTGCTGAACAATGATGAGATTCACACATTTCATTTTCTGGGCTTTTTCCCTCTAGAAACACCCAGGTGGGAGTGATGGTTTCATTTTCACTAGGGAAAAACATGGCCACCTTTGAAAACATGACCCAGGAAAGTGTCCAAAAGTGAAAATAATTTTTAAGAATCAGAATGTAGCGAGTATTTCATTTTGCAGAAAAGCTAACTTTAGTATTTTCTGCTTTCAAGCACACCCATGCTCTGCCTTTTGTATGCATGCCCCTGTTCTTCAGAGCTCTGAATCCAGCATTAAGAAGAAGTTTCTGAAACGGAAAGGGAAGACCGACAGCCCGTGGATCAAACCCGCCAGAAAGAGGCGGCGGAGGAACAAGAAGAAGCCCAGTGGGGAACCAGGTGGGCGCCCACTGCCTATTCTTTCTTACCACAGCAGGGCAGCCCTCCCTCTGTGGCTCCTAGGACTTCCCAGGACCCCAGAGTGGGAGGGCAGTGATGAGATAGGCTGAGCTGGGCGGTCCATTTCTGTCTGTTGTGGTTTTGTGTAAGGTTTCCTTTGAAAAGAGGGTTCTGCTGTTAAAAGCTGGGAATGAGCTTTTAGAGGCGGTCGATAGTCAGAGCGTTGTGTCGTTCAGGCAGGTCTGCTGTTCTGTTGGCTGCAGCGCTCTGTGGACCCACACAGATCGTCTGCGCCACTGCTGGTGCCCACACCACCGGCTGGTCTCCGGCAGTGAGAGTGCCTACACATGGGCCTGCCCATGGTCAGAGGACCCTACTCTAGAGGAAATTTTATTAAAATAGATCTGGGGAAGGTGAAATGAAGCAGGTAAAGCTCCCAGGTTACCACAAGCAATGCAACGAGTGCCTCTCGCACCCCAGAGTGTCTTCCTGCCCCTGCTGCCTCTGGCATTCTTTCCCTTTCCTGGGCGACCACTTCCTGTCTAGAGATAAGTGGAAATTTACTGGAATTTCATGTGGTTAGGCTCTGTCAACATGAATACTTTCCTCTCTGGCTTCTTTGACTCACCATAATTGCGTTCAGAGCCACCCCGTTGTGAGTGTAGGTGGTAGGTACCTGTTCATGGCTGAGAAACAGGACCTGGGGTGGATGGACACACCACCCCATGCATCCAGTCTAGATTCGATGGGAATTTGAAATTCTGTTTTGCATTTTCTTCCATTTGAACAAGATTCTTCTGTATATCCTTTGATCAGAATGTTCAGTAATGGTCTCAGGGCACCGTCCAGTTCTGTGGTCATGGTCAATGAGGCGCTTGTTCATGGAGATGAGTCGCTGCACACCTGCCTCTTCCTCCTGTTCCCGGCCCTCCTCTTCCTCTTTCTCCAGGCAAATGGAGATATGTGTTTGTGCTCTGGATGGTGGCGTGCAAGTTTTAAGAACCTAGGCACTGCACAATAAGCCAGGGGGTAGAGCAGAACACTGAAGACATTTTGAAGTCAGTTAACTGGGGTACCCGATGAAACTGTGACCCTATTCTGTGCGTTTGGATCAGTGAGCTATAGAAAATCAGAAAGGAAGCTTTTGCCCAAGGAACACTGAAAAAAGCAAAAAGCCAAATTCTGTGCGTTTCATTGTACATAAGTAGTCTTAGCAGTGGTTTTTTTCAGGATCATTTTAGAAAACATAATTTCTAACAGGTGTACAACCTAATGTCTGACCCTCTCTTCAGTCGATAAAATTTTTCCATCACTGTGGACAGAAGCTTGGCATTCCCGTGCCCCGTGCTCCCTGGAAACCACTAAGTAACTTTGTTCTGCATAGACTTGCTTGCTCTTTTCTTTCTCTAGAAGAGAGGGCATACGGAATTTGTCTTTGTTGTGATTGACTCATTTTGCTCAGCTCCATTGTGGTCCGTACCAATCGTTATTTCTTTCACTGGCAGAGTTATATTCCATAGTATATATGTGGCACATTTTGTGTATTTTTTGGTTCATTAATGGGAAGTTAGGCTGTTGTCACCATTTCACTTGTGAATAGTGTTGTAATGAACACTGGTGTGTCAGTCTCTGAATTTCTCCTTTCAGGTCTTCTCTGTATACCTGGAATTGTTGAGTTTGATTTTTCCATTTTTCTTTTCCAATATTTATGCTTTTCATTGTGAGTTGGATGGAAGTTTACAGAGAGAAGTGCTTTTCCATCAACAGTTCATATGCATCTCAATTTATGACATTGATTGCAAACCCCACAGTGGAATAGCACTTGCCCACTTTCCTCTCCTCTGCCCTCTGAACTTTTTCCTTGGGCAAAAGCTTCCTTTCTGATTTTCTATAGCTCACTGATCCAAGGACGGCATCCCCGCCTGGAGGAGCAGTTCACCTTCTCCTGTTGTTGCTAGGCCCTGATTCATAGCGACCTTGGGCACAGCCACAGAAACACTGCCTGGTTCTATGCCGCCCTCACAATCATGTTTGAGCTCATTGTTGCAGCCACTGTGTCAGTCCATCTCGTGGAGGGTCGTCTTCTTTTTCACTGACCCTCCACTTTACCAAGCATGGTGTCCGTCTCCAGGGACTGGTCCCTGCTGATAACATGTCCAAAGAACATGAGGCAGAGTCTCACCATGCTTGCTTCACAAGAGCATTCTGGACATACTTCATCCAAGACAGATTTGTTTTGTTCTTTGGGCAGTTCACCATATTTTCAGCCACCTTCATTAGCATCATAATTCAAATGAATCCATTACTTAATTACTTGATTGCATCAGTTATCCTATTGCCCAGCTTCCACGTGCATTTGAGATGATTGAAAACCCTGTGGCTTTGGTCAGGCACACACCTCAGCCTTCAGGCTAACATCCTTGCGCCTCACCACTTTAAAGAGCTGTCTAAGGCAGTGGATGCAGTGTGCCATTTGATTTTTTAACTGTTGCTTCCGTGAGTATTCACTGTGGATCCAGGCAGGGAGAAATCCTTGACAACTTCATGCTTTCCTCCATTTATCATGATGCTACCTATTGATCTAGTGAGGATGTTCATCTTTTTGACATTGAGTTGTAATCCTTTACCGAAGGCTGTAATCCTTGATCTTCATCAGCAAATGCTTCAAATCCTCATCACTTTCAGCAAGCAGGGTTGTTTTAGGCCTTCACATTACAGGTTGTTAATAAGCCTTCCTCCAATCCTGATGACCATTGTTCTTCTTGCAAATGGTTGCCCAAGTAAGAGTCTCCCAAATTTCTTGGCATAGGTGGGTGAGTGCTTCCAGCACTTCAGCTTGTTTTGAACCATTTTCGTTGGTATTCGTCAATTTTTGTAGCCTTCTTTTTTGTTAATGCCTTCATTGCAGTTCATATGCTGGTTCCTGAATGTCAGCCAGTTCTTTCTGGTACAGTGACTCTGTATTCCTTTTTTCTTCTCTTGATGCTTTCTGCATCAGTCAGTATTTGCCCATAGAATCCTTTAGTATTTCAACTCCAGATCTGAATTTTTCTTCAGTTTTTTAGCTTGAGATATCCTTAGCATATTCAACCCTTTTGACTTTGTACCTCCAGGACTTTGTATATCTCATTATAATACTTTGTCTTCTTGAGCGGCCCTTTCAAAATTCATCTTTGACTCTTTTGCTCCATTTCTTTCATTTGCTTTCGCTAATGGAAGTTCAAGAGCAAGCTTCAGAGTGTCTTCTGAGACCCACGTTGATCCACTCTCTCTCCCTTTCCTGTCACATGCAGTATTCTTGGTGCAACTTGTCAAGTTTTCTCTCAGCATTCAGTGTGTCGTATCTGCTCTTGGAAGTCAAATGGGAAAGAGTGAAGTTGCATTGTGTCTCTTTCTTCACCTTTACCTGAGTAATTGATGGTCTCGTCCGAGTCCTTGGCCTCGTTTTGGCTGTTGTTAGTGAGCTTCTCTATTGTCTCTTCCCACAGATGTAGTTAATGTGATTCTTATGTGGTCTATCAGTTGAGGCCCATGTGTACAATGGCCATTTATGTTGCTGAAAAAGGTATTTGCAATGAGGAAGTCCTTGGCCTTATAAAATTTTATCATGTAATATATCTCACCCAGGCCATATTTTCCAAATACTACCCCTTCCTCTTTGTTTCCAACTTTTGCATTCCAATTGCCAGTGATTGTCAATGCATCTTGATTGCATGTTTGATCAATTTTAGACTGGCGAAGAAGGTAGGATTCTAAAATTTATTTTTCATTAGCTTTAGGAGTTGGTGCAAAAATTTGAATAGTAGTTGTATAAACTACACTTTTTATAGATGTATAGATATGATTCTATCCCAGACATCATTGGGCTGTAAGGTCGGTCCTGACATGTTTCTTTAGACAATGAATTTGATGTCTTGTCTCCTAAATTTTTATTCCTGGCATAGTAAGCCATATAATTGCCTGGCTCAAAATACACAGTATTTTGTATTTCAACTACTAATGCCTAAGATACTGATCTTTATGCATTCCATTTCAGTTTTGACAACTTACAATTTTCCTAGATTTGAACTTCGGACACATTCTCTGTTACGATTATTGCTGTCTGTTTATAGTTGTTTCTTCTCATTTTGAGTCCTACCCCATCTGCAGGTGAAGACTGTGGGAGCTGTTCCCCGTCCACATCACGTAAGCGGACTCTGCTTTGAGGAGGCAGCTCTCCCCCAGCCCTGTTTGGAGGGGCCATCCTCAGACAGTGCTGCTCACATGTGTTCAGTGGTCCATTCCTTCCTTCTTCCTGTTCTTTTTAGCCTGGAGACTCTGCTGAAGCCTGTTCACCCGAGTGGCTCTGCTGCTAGTTACTATGCCAGTAACAACCTCCAGCATCACAGTGGTACACGAGCACCACAGTTCAACAACCTGACTGACAGTGGTCTGTACAGTCCTGTTGTTTGGGCTGAAATGGAGCCCCTGGGTGAATTCTGTTTCAGGCTTGAAGAGCGTCGAAGGGCCGTGGTCTCAGGGGTTCTACCAGTCTCTTAGGCCAATAATTTGGCTTCTTTCTGTTTTCCTATTAGAATTATTTTGTGTCCCCCTCCCCCTGGCCCCCACCATATCAGACCCATCTGTAATTCCTTTCAGAGCAGTTGGCACTGATAGTAGGACACCATCTAGTTCTTCATGTGATCCGTTAGTCCTTTGGACATTGGTTTTCTTTACTATTCCTTACTCTGGACAGTGAGAGACCAGTAATCCTTTCACCTCATGAGTCTTTAAGACGCTAAGTGTGCTACTTAACCAAAGCAGGATGTAGAACATTGTCTTCGTTGACTATGTTATGCCTGTGACCTCAATATCCCCAAGTCTATAGCCCTGAGTCCACCAACAACCCAATGACTTATTCCATCGAGTTGCTTGTTTTTGACAAGGAAGCTGTCATAACTTTATATATATATATATATAATATTATTCCATATTTCAATCACGTCAAGGAGAATTGTACAATTACTACCACAATCAGTTTTCAAACATTCTTTTTCTGCATGGACTCCTTGGTATTGTCTCCCTTTCACCCCCCCCTCCCCCCCCCACTCTCCACTGCTGTAGCCCCCCGCCCCACTAAGAAAAACCCTTATTCTACTTGCTGTCTCTGTAGGTTCATAAATCCTGAGTTTCATATATCAAAAACTGGAAAACATATAACTCAACTTCAAGAGGGTGACCTCCAATGACATGACACCTCTGAGCTACACCCTAACACCCAAACCACACAGAACAATAGATCAGGTCCAACCTGCCCCAGAGGGGAAGCTGCTGACGTTTTCATTGCTCAAGTCAGATTTACACCTTTGGTTTTCTGTGCTCATCTCTCGGAAGAGCTCTGTTTAGTAACCACTTTACTCCCATCTTCGAGGAAGTTTTCATAACCTTATCTCCACCCCCTGTGTGCTCTACTATACTGGGTATAGTCACGATATAGATTCTGTTTTAAAAACATGTAAAAATATCTTGTTAAACCCATATATACTTTTGAGTTAAAGTTCTATTCTGCCTTCCCACATCTGTTCAGCTTACATATCCTGTCTATGGTCCTGCTTATGGGTTACTTACAGATTAATGTTCTTGCAGCATTATGTGCATAATAGTTTTGCCCATTGCTGTCTTTAATTCTTGTACGGCTCCTACTGTCTTCCTTTGCCTTGATGGTTTTGTGGTGATGTGTGTCTTCTTTTGTTAAGCGTGTCTCTTCATATCTGTTTGGTTTTTAAAATCAGATGGTTTGCCTTCTTGTTGAATTAGAACAGTTCTGTATATATTCAGTTTTTTTCAGACTTATTTTGCAGAGAGCCTTGGTAGTTTAGTGATTACTTGGGCTATGAGCCACAAGGCTGGTGGTTCAAAACCACCAGCTGCTCTTCGGGAGAAAGCCAACACTGTCTACTCCCAAAAAGGGTGCAGGGGCAGTTCTGTGCTGTCCTATATGGTCCCCAGGAGTCAACACTGACTCAAGGCAGTGAGTCTGATTTTATTTTGCATACATTTGCAACTATCCGGATTGCCTTCTCATTTTTTGAACAGCATTTTATAAGAGCAAAACTGTTAAAAAAAAAAAAAGAAAGCAAAACTGTTTTAAGATTTTTAGTCTAATTTACCAGTTTCTTCTTTCATGACTTCATGATTTTTGTACTCTAAGAAAGTTTTACCCAGATCACAAAGATTTTTATGCCATGTTTTCTTTGGGACTTTTATAGTAGCCCTTACATGCTGACTCATTTTGTGCAGTGTGAGGTAGGAGTCTGTTCGTTAGCCTGCATGTGGGCGTGCAGTTCTAGCATCATTTGCTGATTGGGTCCTGTTTTCCAATAAGTGCCCTTGGGGCCTTGTTGGCAGTCATTTGATGGACACCCGTGGAGCTTTCTCTGTGCATCTATCTGTTCTGGTGAACGTGCTTACTGTTACACCGGTGCTATAAGATCACGGTTTTCCCTTTGGAAACCTCATGTTAGCCACTGAGCTAGATTTCATGAGCTAAAAGTAACATTGTTAAAATGGACACAGAATGTAGCAGCTATAGGAAGGCTAGTGGACATGGTCCTGTGATCAGCTCCAGGCGTGTGGTTGACTGGGTCACCTGTTCAGGCCTGACTGCCTACTTGTAAAGCACTTGTTGAGACAGAGACCCTGTGCCTGTGCTCCTCGACAGTCGTGTGTGGCTCATGTCTCAGTGTTTATTCACAGTGTTTGGGTCTTCTTTCTGCGTCTCAGCCATTTAAAATTGCTCCAAAGCTGCTCGTATTCCTCCCAGTGTTGTGACGGTTCCTCACATGGAGTAGACTGTCTGGCTCTGAGGGATAGGCTACAGGTGCCCTCTGTTTCCTGGTGTCTGTGCTTAGAAGGGAGATCTGGGAACTTGCCCTCGGCTGCTGGTAGCTGTGTTCCTCTGTGAACACACACCTCTCACCAGCTTCCTCAGTGAGATGACCTCAGAGTGGTCAGCACCAGGTATAGGTCTCAGCTTCTGAAGCTCTGTCATGCCCTTGGCAGAAGTGTGGACAGGCTGGCCTGCTGCCCCTGGCACCCTCCTCTGATAAGTAGAGGCAGTCGGTCACTCATATGTGAGCCACAGCTCCTGCTTCTGAGCTCTAGGGTGTCCTGAGCCTGCCCTTTTACCCCCAGGCAGGCTTTCTCAGGTCCTGCCTGTCCAGCCTCCTCGAGGGAGATCTGGTGTCAGACACATGGGTGAGAAGTGGGCTCCTCCTACTCACCTCATCTTTCTAAGTGACCTTTCAAATCCGTAAGCTAGGTTTCTGTTCTATATGTTCATAAATCATGTGTGTTCCATGCATTCATCCATTTCCTCGATCATCTCATCAACTCGTCCAGCTGGTGCTGTTAGAGGAGGGTGCAGCTCTGCGCCCAGCCCCTCCCCACACACCCGGACTCATGCGGGAATGGATGGAGAATCACAAATGACGCACCAGGAGAAAATGGCGGTGAAAGCAGGTGGCCTAGATGCCCTGTCTGTCCGTCTGCTTTTCTGCGCGGGTCTCTGGCTCCCGGGTGCAGTGGCTTCTGTGTGTGCCTTTCTAATGCAGGTCCTGAGGTGTATAAGTCATCATCGGGAAGCACTGAGCAGGCTGCCCCCGGAGATAGCATGGGGTACATGGAAGTTCCCCTGGACTCTCTGGACCTGCACGTCACAGGAATTCTGTCCTCGCCTGCTTCAGAAGGTGAGCACGTTCTGAAATTGTGGTGGGCACCATCTTGGTCCTTTGTTAGTGTGCCTGCTTGTCTGAGCTCGGAGGATGCCCCCTTTGATTAAATGGGCACCAATTAGATACCACACACAATATTTTTGCTGCGTTACTCACAGTTGTCAAGTGAAGAGAGTGAAATTAGGCAAGTCCCTCAGACTGGTGGGAATTGAAGCAGCACATACCACTGGTGAGCTCAGAGCTTTCTGTACCCCACCTGGCCCCTCCAGGGTCACAGCCATGGGAGCCCTTTGGGAAGCGGCCCTATGCTTGACAGTGCTCCCTGGTGTACACAGTGACAGCATTTGGGGTAAGGGGCTCTCTGCTTCTGGTTTTAATTGGCAGAAGGGGAGGGTTGGTGCTGGACCATATTCCTCAGAGCTGACCTGGCACAGTTAGGCTTGGTATGGTGCTGTTTTGACTCAGAGGCCACCCTCCTCATGTGTCCAAGATCTGTGTGTTGTTGAAGATCACCCACACTTCTCTTTTTAGGGCACCCAGTGCATTTATATTAATGATAAGAAACTTAACGGATAATTTTGGGGAAAGGTCTTGAGGTGTGTGTAGGAAAAATGTGAAGTCCTGTAATTTTTTTGCAGTCTACCATTGACTTCACAACTGTGAGCTATGCATGGATGTAGAGATTTAATAAACCTTCTTTAAAGGACAGAATGGTAGCCTTCTCCGGGTTTTGAAAACTAGAAGGGATTTATGTATCTATTTGGGAAAAACGCATCTTTCATGGAAGGTAAACCTTACGAGTGCCTTTGGTTTCGTAGCCAGTGGGGTGTCCTCCCCTCCTTGGGGAAGTCCTGGGTGTTAGCACTCTGTGCTTGCTTTCTAGCTGAGAGCTGACACCCGCTGTTTGGTTTTCCTCGGTTTGCTTTTCAGTTCGGGGTGGCTGTAAGCAGGGACCGCGACGTTGCTCTATCATGTCCATGCCTGAGCTGTTGTGATCAGAGGCAGCAGGGTGTCTGTCAATCTGGGCCCTGTACTCGCTGACAGCTTCCTGGCCTTGGGCAGAGATGCAATGGGATGCCATTCAAGAGCCCTTTCACCTTTAACATTTATAGTCTGTTTCTTGAAAAGTGGCACAAGTGAGACTGCCAGGTGAGAAGCACATTAGAGAAGTAGCAGGAGGAAGGACTGGTGGGTAGAGGCTTCCTGAAGACACTGGTGCTGTAGCTTTTTATAGATCGGTCCTCACATGCATTTCCCAGTGGTGGCTGCTCATCTGTCCAACCATGCAGTTGACTGAGAGGAAGCTGGGAAGGAAGGGCTCTGCCCAGACCCCAAGGGCTAGCTCCATGGGCAGGGCGACTTGGCGTTCCCCTCTGAGGGGAGAGAGGAGGCACCTGCTGAGGAGGGTCAGTGGGTGACCACACAGTCCAGCTCATAGTGAGATAAACAGCCTTGTGTGTTTCCGAAGTGCCACTCCTCCTCTTTGGTTGTAGATGTGTCGAGTTGCGCTAGGGGCCGGGCGGGCGTTGAGACTGAGACGGGGTGCTGAAGGCCTCTCATTGCGGCTCTGGTTGTATCTGTGAGCGCGTGTGGTTGTTTCCAGTGCCACTGTCATGCGTGTGCATCTTCAGCCCTCACTGCCCTGCGTTTGTGTGCTGCCCTTCCTCCAGCTTAGTCTGGGGTGGAAAGTATTATAGATAGTAATCAGGCTGTTATTAAGGAATATCTTTTTGTCATTGCGCTTCTAAGACCACATGAAAGAATAAGGATGAACTTACTTCCGATGAGAGACCAGAAATTTTGGAGCCACTGGTGAAGTCTGCGCCCTCCCTCCTGCTCTCCTCCTGGCTGTGTGTGTGTGTGTGTGTGTGTGTGTCTGTCTGTGGTGGGGGACCCTCTGGGCTCACTGCACGCCTTGTATGAACCTGTCTCTGGGCCCATTGGACCTGAGGGCCAGGGTGGTGGGTCTGACCTGTCCATGTGTGTTGCAGTGCTGGCCAATGGTCCCGGGGTGGCGGATACAGACGGCCTCCAGGAAGTGCCTCTGTGCAGCTGCCGGATGGAGACTCCGAAGAGCCGGGAGATCACCACCCTGGCCAACAACCAGTGCATGGCCACTGAGAGTGTGGACCACGAGGTGAGCGGGTGGGCAGTGCCTAGAATCGCCCTCCACTTCCTGCCAGGCCTCAGACCGTGACCTCTCCCCCAGATCAGTGTGCCCTGTGACTGGGAACCTGTGGGATACAGCAGGCAGGTCAGTGGGGAGGATGCCTGTGAAGACAGGGCAGCTGGGGTGCTCCTCCGGCTCATAAAGCCTCCTGCTGGGGTCGGGGTGAGTCATCGCACAGCTTTCCTGGCACTGCCCCCAGTCAGTTGCCCTCTCAGGGCGAGCCACGCTCTGAGTTCGTGGCCATGCATCCAGGGATGTTCGGGACCCTTACGGAGACTTGGGAGGTCGGTGTTGGAATGAGTGCCTCTCAGTGGCGGCTGGAGGAGCTCCTTCTGCCCTCCATGGGGCCACCTGGATAGATTTTCCAGGGCTTATTGCAGTGAGGCCGTGAGGGGTGTGTGCCCAGCCTGCCCCTTGCCTGGCCTTTGCTGGGCCTGAAGTCGGCAGGCTGTGTGAGCGCTGGGCTTGGGCCCACTGAGCTGTCGGGTTGACTGTGCCTGGGTCTGGGCTGTGCATGTGCGTCCTCCACCCTCTTGTCTTTCATTGTAAACAGACTTTCGTGCAGATGGAGGAGAGGGCAGTCAGCCGTCTGCACTGACTGCTGACCAGCCGCCTTCGAAGTATCATTTTGAGCTCACAGAATGTCATGCCGGGTAATGTGGAAGGTCTGAGAAGACCTTGGACCAGGGGGATGGGCCTATTGGCTACCACAGTGGGTCACACCTAAATGATGGTGAGGACTGCAGCGGGCCAGCCTTTGTGTTCTGTGCTGCTTCCTGGGGTCGCTGGGTGGAGCTGACTGGATAGCTGGCACCTCGCAGCACCAGCAGCTCCTTCTTCAACTGACACTTGGTAGCCAGTAGCATTGCAACTCTCCACCGTGTGCATGCGCAGCCTGGAGACTCCCTTTCTCTAAGAGGCTTGGTGTTCTTGGAGTTTCATTCCAAGAGGGCAGGAGCTCAGAGCAGCTGCTGCTGCTGAGCCAGCCAGGGCAGGCAGAGGGCGTGTGCGCGATAAAACACTTTCTGACTCTGGACCCACATGGCCACTTCTTCACTGGGCCTGCGCATAGCTGTCTGCTGCTAACTGGCAGGGCAGCTGTGTGAAGCCACCAGCTGCTCTCGGGGAAAGCAACCAGGCCGTCTGCCTGTGCAAAGATCTAGTCTTGTCACCTAGAGGGCTCCTCCTGCGCTGCCCTGCAGGCTTGCTATAAGCCAGAGCCAACGAGGAGGCAGTGGGTTTGGCTGGCCTCCCTCCCTCTCCCTGAGGTTCTGATGGACAGTCAGCAGGGGCTGGCGGGCCAGCACCTGGAAGCCCTCAGCTGCCACTTTGAGCCCCGTCCCCACCACCCTCCCTTGGCCATTACAGTATCCTGCCTTGGTTCCCGTACCACACCCCCATGGTGGTCGCTCTTGGTGCAGAACGGTGAAGTCACCGGTCGTCCTGGGTGCCCTTGCATGTCTTGGTGACATCACCGACCTCGATCACACTGTGCATTTCACCCACATGCACAGTTCATGCTTCCCATCATAGGTGTCTCCTATGTGGGGTGACCACCCGCCTGGTGGCCACCAGTGAGCCTCAGCGCGCATACATCTACCTGGGCCCCGGGAGACTGCGCAGGCCGCAGTACCCTCCCGGGGTGGTTGAGTCAGTTGATGTCCAGTTGTCTCCCCTCTGGCCAGTAGCTGCCCCTCAGACGTGGCTGAGCCATTCGTGTGCGAGTGTGGGCTCTCGTGGGTGTCATCCATGTTGGTGATGGGTGTCACTGGGCCAGGCTCTGGGGGAAGGCGTCTCCCAGTGCATCCGAGCACACTTACATCTTCAAGGGTGCTTTTGGGCAAAGCTGACAGTGGTCCTTGTCCTCAGTACCCTCGGGCCAACTGCCGACACACTGCCTTGCCGGCCAGGATGCCTGACCCACTGTCCCGTGCCTCCATGGAAGGCACCCGTGTGGGTGGTTGGCTGCCAGGCCTCTAGTTCCAGCAGTCACCTCTGTGTATGGTGGCTCCAGCCGCTGTGGCCACCGTACCCCCTGGAACCCTGTGACATTCTCTCCACTCATCCTGGTCTGTCCTGCGTGTCCAGGCACATCCAGCCCCGGACCTCACTCTGCCTGAGCGGGCAGCGCACCTGCAGGCACCGTTGGTCCTATCACACTGGACAAATGGTGACCACCTGTGTGACATTGTGCTGTCAGCTAGCACAGAGGACTGGCCTGTCCAGCCCTTCTCAGGTCTGACATGTTCGTGTGAGCTGGGTGTGACACTCACAGGTCAGCTTCATCACTGAAGCCTTTCTCTGTCTGTGTCTGTCTGCCTGCCTGCCTGCCTGCAGCTTGGCCGGTGCGCCAACAGCGTGGCCAAGTTGGAGCTGATGCGCCCGTCTAACAGAGTGCCGCTCCTGGTGCTGTGTGAGGACCACAGGGCTCGCATGGTGAAGCACCAGTGCTGCCCGGGCTGCGGCTACTTCTGCACCGCGGTAAGCCCGCACTCCCACGCGCGTGCGGACACACACACACTCACTGCTGCTGCAGCCTCCCTCCCCTCCTTTCTCCGCTGGCACACTCCAGCCTCCAGATCCCCCTGGACCATCTGACCTGGGCCTGGGCCCAGGCCCCTTGCTTGCCTCAAGAGCTGGGTCTGCACACAAGTCTGAGGTGGCCCTGCCCTTTCCTGAGGGGGAGCCGCCCTCCCAACCCCTCAGCTCTAATCTCCTTTCTGCTCCTGCTGTCTGTGACCTCAGCCCGCATGACTGCTTCTTGCTGGCTCTCATAGGAACGGGCACATGGGGGCCACTTGGTGTGCATGTGGGTGCTGGGTGTTCTCAGGGATGTTCCTGTGGGAACCCACTGGGTGTACCCGAGGACATGTGCATGTGAGAACCAAATGTCACAGGGACACACACGTGGGGGCCACTGTGTATATGTGGAGACAGGCTGGTGGGGGCCCACTGGGTGTTCATAGACATGTGCCCATGGGCGTTCACCAGGTACTCACAGGGATGTGTGGATGTGGGTGCTCATGGAACATGCACATGGGGCTTTGGGGGGGACAGGCATGTGGGCACGCACTGGTTGTTTGCAATGACATGTACACATGGGGAATGGGTTCTCAGGCCCACCGGGTATTTTGGGGGTCAGGCACACAGGGCCCACTGGGCATTCTCAGGGCAGTGGGTGGAGGCTCACTGCCATTTTGCTCACGCCTCCTGCCACTGCAGACTCCATGCTCAAGAAGCTGGACACTGTACACGGGCCTCCTGTCAGCTCTGCCAAAGACCCTGGTCCCTGCTTCCTGCCAGGACTTCCTGCCGTGCTCCCCCAGACCTGCGACTAGCGGGGTTCCAGCCTCACCCTCCATTCCTTTCTTTAAGCTTTGCCTCAACTACCTCTCACCTTTCTGGGCTGGTGCCCTCTGCACCCGCTGACCCCTCTACTGCCTCACTGACCTGGCCAGCCACCCTCTCAGCCCCTCTACAGCTCAGCCCCTTCTGCAGCAGCCCTGCTGACCTGGCTAGCCACTTCCCAGCACAAATTCACTGACATTTTGCCCAAACATTTTGGCGGTTTCCATTTTCACATCAAATATCCAACATGCGTTGCATTGTCCCAGTTCAGTAGAAGCGTGTCTGTTGTACTCAGAAGTGCCCAGTTTTCATCCGGGCACTGGGGTTGTGGTAGACAGAAGGCCGGTGGTAAGGTTAATGTTGGAGATGGTGACCACCAGCTGATGTTGTAGCGAGGAAGCTTGTATTCGGCCCCCTAAGGCAGTCCGAGCGTTGCTGTGTGTCCTCCCTGCCCTTCCCAGCTGTTGCTGCTGTGTGGGACGCTGGCCTGGTAGCCCTGCCTGTGTGTCTGTCCTGGGGTGGCCAGCTCAGAGTCCCCTTCTGTTCAAGTTGTTTCATGCTCTCTAGAGCACGCACTGTCCTGTCCCCCAACTTGCCTTTGCTTTATTAAAGCACTGAGGCTCCTTCCTCTGTGTCCTCTGATGAGAGAATACCCACCCTGCCGCTGCCGTCTCCTCCAGTGAGGAGGCCACACTCCCAGGGTTCTGTAGCTTGAGGGCGGGGCGGGGCGCAATGGGGGGGCCAGCCAGGCCCCTCCTGTGTGCCCTCTGGGAAAACCTGTGTGTGGTGGGTGCCCTTGATTTACTGTATGGGATGGGGCTTCCTACCCTGGAGTGCCCGTGACCCGGAAGCTGGGTGAGGCCCTGGGCTGGGATCATCCGCCCTGCGCCTCTGCCCAGAGCAGGAGTGGTCGGTCACCTGCTGCCTGTGCACCTGTGTGTGTGGGTCACAGTGACACCACGGGTACACAGCATGTACACGCCCGTGGGGGCAGGGCCAGCTGGGGTGAGATTACGGCCACCCTCCCCTCTGCCCCACCTCCCCTGTTGTCTGCCAAGGGGCAGGACCTGTGGGGGTGGGGCCTGCCGCCTGTTGTCTGCCCAGGGGCGGCGGGGTCAGCAGGGGACGGGCATGTCTGAGGGGTGCAGAGAGTAGGTGAGGTGGGGTCCGTGGAGTGGGCAGTCCGCCCACCCTGGTAAGCGGCGGTTGAGCGCACAGAATCCTTGAAGAGGAGCAGGAGTTTCCTCTGGAAAATTCAGTGATGATGGGCACATGGAGCAGGTGTTTGAGGACGCACTGGCATTTTAAAGAGGTCCCTGCAAGCGCTGGGTCTCCAGGCCCCTGGAAATGGTGCAGAAGCCTCGCTTCCTGCGCTGGCCCTACCCGCTGTCTCTTGTGTCCTCTGGGTAAATTAGGCATGTGGGGAACTCCCCTCGTCTGTGGGTCCCAGTGGGGTGCTGTCCAGCCCTTGATCCTGCCTCCACAAGAGCTGGTGCTGTGGGTCAGACAGCAGGTGGGGACAGTGGTGGCTACTGGTGACAGGCTTGCGCCCTAGGGCCCCACATGTTCCTGGCAGAGGCACACTCTAGGAGGACTGGCCTTGGCAGGTCTCGCGGGAGGGTCTTCAGGTAGCAGTGTGAGGTACTGGCTAAGCCATGTCTTTAGCCTTGGTGCAGCTTGGGCATGGGCCCGTCTCCCAGGCTGGAACCTAGGGCTCAGGACCTGTGGGAACAGGGACAATGACCTCCCAAGCCAGTCAGCTGCCCATTCATAGCCAGGGCTCTCCCCAGGGCATACTCTATGGGGTGCCAGGCAACTGCAGTAGCACCTCTGACAAGCTCTCCCCCCACCCCGCCCCCTAGGGCAGCTTCATGGAGTGCCAGCCCGAGAGCAGCGTCTCCCATCGCTTCCACAAGGACTGCGCCTCTCGAGTCAACAACTCCAGCTACTGCCCCCACTGTGGTGAGGAAGCCGCCAAGGCCAGGGAGGTGACCATTGCTAAGGCTGACACGACCTCCACCGTGACTCTGGGGCCCGGGACCGAGAAGGCTACTACCACCGAGGGCAGGGCGGACACCACCACTGGCAGGTGGGTGGCAGGCAACGCACCACTGTGGGTGCAGGGCAGAATGATGAGGGTGGCTGCTCCCGCAGGGATTACAACCTCGCAGAGCTGTGGAGACCATTCTCCTGGCTTATGGGGTTATTGAGTTGGAATTGACCCAGTAGCAGGAGTTTGATTTCTGTAGGGAGCTACATGGGTGCTGCAGAGGGCCTTGGGCACTATAGAGGGCTATGAGGACTACGAGGAGGGAGCTGGGGCAAATGGGGGGCTGCAGAGGAGGGGAGGGCATTGTAGTGGGACTGTGGGGGCTGTGGATAGGGGCTGCTGGTCTCTGTGGGCAGGATGCCGCCTGGGCATGGGCAGTGTGCACAGTGGTACCATCGCTAACAGAGAGGTCAGCCTGAATACTGCTGGCTTCCACCCTGTCATCTGAAGGACTCTCGGGGCCTCTGACCACTGACATTTCAAAGACACAGACGTCCCTTTGTTTGTACTGTGCTTGGGTCCACTTGGCCATGGCGTGTCGCCTGTCTGAGCAGCCTCAGGCTCTGCAGCGCTGCCTCTTGGGTCACCTGCTCAGCCCTCACTGGCTGGTGGTCATTGCAGGGGCTGTGTTCGTTTCCACCACTGTCCTGGCTTCATGAAGACTTAGTGTCAGAGAGGCAGACATCCAGGAAACAGAACGTCCAGGAGAAATAGCTGGGAGCCGTTTAGCCTGAGTAGGGTCAGTGGATGAGCAGACCAAACTCACAGGTCAGGGTCTTGTTCCCTATCAGCTGCTGGAACGTGCAATGGTGCCTGAGGCACCGCTGCCTAGGAGCCCGCTCTGTAAACATTCCAGGGGCAGGAAGGGTGAGATGCTTGGCTGGGGTCTCCACATGGAGCGCTGGGCCAGGGCAGGTGGTTTCTGTCAGAGGTTCAGCTGAGCTGTGTGTGTGTGTACACGCACGTGTGTGGGGGGACACTGCCAACCCCCTCAGCCAGCGCGTCCATCTCTTGCTCCTTCCTTGCAGTGGTGCTGGGTCCCAGCTCACCGAGGGAGACAAGCTGCAGAGCTCGACCCCCCAGCCTCCCGAGGCCTTTGAGCTGACCGGACCCGCGGGACCTGTGAAGCCTGCTCCCGGCCTTCCCCAGGGGTCTGGCAAGGAGACGCTGGAGAGCGCCCTGATGGCGCTAGACTCTGAGAAGTAAGCCTGCCCCCCCTCTATGAGAGGACACTTGTTGCCGGGACCAGCTGTTGAAGGGTCTTCTGAAGCTGCAGGCTAGAGTGTGGGTGCCCTTCGCTTTGAGGAGGAGGTTGCAGGTGGCTGTCCTCATTCTGCCAGGAGCAGAAAGAAAGCCACTCTGGGGGTTGGGAAGGGGTGTGCCCCTGCGCCCTCTGCAGACCCTCTTCTGACTATGGCTCACCCGGGAGGTTGGCCGCCTCCGTGGGGGTCCTGGGGTTCAGTCCCTGTGCTGCCGCAGGCCCACAGCCTCGGCGGAAGGGGCCCATGGTCCACACACCCTGTGAGGTCTGAGGGGTGGTGTGGCACAGTGACTGGGCCCCATGCTTCCCCGCAGGCCCAAGAAGCTCCGCTTTCACCCGAAGCAGCTGTACTTCTCTGCCAGGCAGGGTGAGCTGCAGAAGGTGCTCCTCATGCTGGGTGAGTGCAGCAGGTGGCTTGTGGCATGGGGGTCCCCTAAACCACCTATATGCACGAGGGTCCCCAAGGCGCCTCGCACGGCACAGGGTTCACTTACACTCCCCTCATGGTATGAGTACCCCTAAATACATCACATAACATGGAGGTCCCCCTTCACGTCCCACATGGCATGGCATGTGTGTGTGTGTCTTCTAAACACCTTACACACCATAGGAGTCCCTTACACGCTTCACATGCCACAAGGGTCCCCTGTATACTTCATATGACATGGGAGTCCCCTGCACATCCCGCACGACACACAGGGTTCCCTTAAATGCTCTACATGGCCTAGGCGATAGCGTTATTTCCCCACCCTGACAGTGGGTCCTCATTAACCCTTCTAAGTGAGACGCACATACCCACACACAGCACGGGGTCCCTGTCACTCCACCCAAACATGGCAAGGGGCTTCTACCACTCCCACTCTCCACCTCCGCCAGGGCACAGTGCCCTGGCTGTGTCAGAAGTGACCAGTGATGTGGTCCCAAACCGTGTGTCTGCAGTGGATGGCATTGACCCCAACTTCAAGATGGAGCACCAGGGCAAGCGGTGTCCATTGCATGCTGCTGCCGAGGCCGGCCACGTGGACGTCTGCCACATGCTGATCCAGGTGACCTGGTAGACCTGGTGCCCTAAGGGCCACGTAGTGGGGCATGTCCTGGTGGCGGCTGAAGGGTATGTGGCCGAGAACGTGGGTGGCTCCAGGAGGGGAGAAGACCCAAGCATACGGCCATGAAGCCACCGGTCCTGCATCCAGGGGCTGCTCAGGAACAAGGCTGGCCTGCGGTGGGCGTTACAGGAGGGGCACAGTGCCCCATCAGAGGACTCAGGTGGCTCTGTCTTAGAATGCACTCTGACCCCTGAGAAGCTGTTCTGAGAATTATGGTGATGTGGGAAGTGGCAGCATGGGCCTGGCACACAGAGGGCATGGGGCAGCAGAGGCAGAGGGCAGGGGTGAAGTCAGGGAGACAGGCATGCGGGAGTGAGGCTCAGTGGGAGTGGAGGGTGTGGGGCCAAGCAGGTATGTGAGGTACAGTGGAGACAGAAGGCGTAGGGGCCGGCTGGAACAGCAGGGTGTGGAAGGGGCTGCGGTGCTGAGGTTGGTGTGTGGCAGATAGTGGGGACCAGTGCCAGCTTTCTGCTTTGGGGTCCCCCGCTGATATTTAAGATGTTCTCAGTGGGGCAGCTGGGTTCCTAGATGGAGGAGAGATGTGTCGAGAGACCCAACAGGAAAGGCACTGTGACTGGACACCACTGTTCCCTGTCCCAGGCGGGCGCCAACATCGACACCTGCTCTGAGGACCAGCGGACCCCGCTGATGGAGGCTGCGGAGAACAACCACCTGGACGCAGTCAAGTACCTCATCAAGGCGGGGGCGCTTGTGGACCCCAAGGTGCGTCTGCACTGCATCTGGCCCTGTGGTGGCCTTGGGGCATGCGCTCGGTCAAGCGTCCTTAGTGGGGGTTGGGGTAGGGGGCAGGACTCAGCCTCACGGAACAGCCAGGCCTATGGCAGCTGCAGTGTGTGCAGGTACTCAGCACATAGGTGGCAGGGGGGACTCCCCAAGAACAGGCACTTAGGGCTTCTGTGCAGGACGAATAGACACACACCCCATGGCCACTTGGGGCCGAAAGGCTATGTGGCCAGCACCAGCTCACCACCAGCAGCTGTGTCCGCAGGGAAGGCTGGGGCAGAGCATCCAGACCAGGCCTGGGGTTGCACCGGCCTCATCTTTCTCTTAGTGAAGTCTTTTGCCCAATTCCAGAAGCCGGCCAGAGTTCATGCAGAGTCCCCAGTACTAGGATGCCAGGGACAGTCAGCTGGCCTCACTGAGCAGTGAGGAAAGACCACTCTTGCCTGTTGGCCTCCTGTGTCCTGTCCCGTCCCCCCACCCCCCACCCCAGCTCCACCAGGCTACCTGCACCCCGTCCCCATGTCAGCTCCCCTGTTCCCACCCCCAGTGTCACCCCCACCCCGGCTACCTGGCCCCCATACCCTCAGTATCAACTTACCCCTAGGAATAAGACCACATCGGCCCCAGTCCTTCTCAGTGACCATCTTGGAGGTGCAGATGGAGCGTCCCTGTGTGGTCAGAGCAGACCGTCCCAGAGCACTGCACCCTGAGGCAGCCACCAGCACCTCTCACCAGCGCCGACTATTATGGACTTTTTGTATGCTAATTTGCCTCACAAAGAGGTTTTTTTCTTTTTGAAAGTGGTTTTTAAATTTACTACTTTAAAACAGTTTTATTGGCACAGAATCCACATATTATGCAATTCAATAGTTCAATCATATGAAGTAGGGTTATATAATTACTACCATAATCAATTTTAGGACATTTTATTCTTGTACTAATTGTTATCAGCTCCTTCTTTCCTCCCAACCTCCTCCCCTGCCACACCCCCAAGAACCCATTAATCCACTTATTACCGCTATAGATTTTCCTATCCTGGATATCATTTACAGAAAAACTTAAAAAAAAAAATAGAACAACAATAACAATTTAAAAACAGAGAAACCTCAATGAAAAAGAAAGCAGAAAATATTAAAAAGGAGAACACATTTAAGATGAGTTGAAAGGTAGATCAAATAATTAACACGTTAAATTTTAACCTAGCTGCGTCTGCCCTAACCCACTTTTCAGTGCACTCTGCATGATAGCACCTTTCAGTGCACTCTGCGGTCAGAGGGGCTGCACCAGAGGCTTAGTCCAGGTGTATTTCCCCTTCACTTTTTTTTTTTTTAAAAAACTAAAACAACTTTTAGATGCGTTAAAAGGGAGGAGGGTCAAATCAAATGTTTTAACATTTCAGCTAAACTAAAAAAATTATCTTAATTTTCTTAAGTTTGGGTGAAAATTTCTTATGTATGTGATCACTGAATCTGTGGTTTTCCTGTCTACTGATATATTCCTGTTTTTCCTTTGCGTTTATAAGAACCATTTCCCAGTGAGAATTAACCATTCTTTACCCTGCATGCCACAAGCACTGTTCCCAGTGAATGCAGGCAGGCCTCAGGTTACAGACGGTCCTGCATGCAGGTAGCTATAGTGCAGAACTTTCTGTCCCCACCAAGTAAGCGTAAAGGAGCCCCCAGAATGGTTACAGTTTGGGAGGTTCCCAGAAAGAGACACAGCTTGTCCCTTCAGGAGCTTGATGTGGGGACTGTGGAGAGCCACACACAGTCTGCTGAGAGCAGGGCGCCACCCTCTGTGGGGTACTCCTATACTGTGATGTCAGTCTGCCCTCACAGTGAGATGTTGAACCAGACCCAACTGACTCCTATTGATAAAAAAAATTCTTCATCATAATCACCTTCTCTGCTGCATGTGCAGGTTTTTGTTTTTCTTCTTTTTTTAATCATTTTATTGGGGGCTCTTAACAGCTCTTATAACATTCCATACATGAATTGTATCAAGCATTTTTGTACATGTATTGCCATCATCATTTTCTAAACAGTTACTTTCTATTTGAGCCCTTGGTATCAGGTCTTCTTTTTTCCCTCCCTCCCCACCTTGTGACCCCTTGATAAATTATAAATTATTATTGTCTCCATAGCTTACACCAACCGCTGTCTCCCTTCACCCCTGTTTCTGTTGTTCATCCCCCTAGGGGTGTAGGGGGTGGGTTATGTGTCAGTTCTTACAATCAGTTTCCCCCTTCCCCGCTCCTCTCCCCACCTTCCTGGGCCCTCCAGGTATCACTACTCCCATTTCTATTCCTGAGGGTTTTATCTGACCTGTATTCCGTGTGTTGTGAGCTTTTTAAAAAAATCATTTTATTGGGGCTCATACAATTCATCACAGTCCATACATACATCTATTGTGTAACGCACTCATACATTTGTTGCCCTCATCATTCTCAAAATTCACGTCTGGGGACTTAAAGGCTTGAAAGTAAACAAGTGGCCCTCTAGCCCAGAAGCAACAAAGCCCACATGGAAGCAGCACACCAACATGTGTGATCATGAAGGTCTGAAGGGACCAGGCTTCAAGCACCAAAGGCGGGGGAGGAAAAAAACCCTAAAAACATATCATCGTGAATGAGGGTGGCGCGTGATGGGGACCCAATGCCCATCTGTAGACAACTGGGCATACCTTGCAGCGGGATAGTGGGGAGGAGATGAGTCACTTAGGGTTCAGTATAGCAATAATGAAACACACAACCTTCCTCTAATTCTTAAACGCTTCCTCCCCCCAACTACCATGACCCCAATTCTACTTTGCAAACCTGGTTAGACCAGAGGATGCACAGCGGTACAGATGGGAACTGGAAACGCGGGGAATCTAGGACAGATGAACCCCTCAGGACCAGCGGTGACAGCGGTGATACTGGGAGGGAAGGGAGGGTAGAAAGGGGGAATCGATCACAAGAATCTACATATAACCTCCTCTCTGGGGGATGGGCAACAGAAGGGTGGGTGAAGGGAGACGCCGGGCAGTGTAAGATAAGATATAATAATAATTTATAAATTATTAAGGGCTCATAGTGAGGGAGTGGGAAGGGAGGAGGAGGGGGAAAAAGGAAAATGAGCGTGTGCAGGTTTTAAATCATTGAAAATTACAGCTAGCCCCTTCCTGCTCTGAAGGTGGGGTGAGTAAAAACCACCAGCACCTGTCCCAACATCTCTTCCAATTCTTGGAAGTCACAGAGGTGGACTTAATTTTCAACCTGGGACTAACCTGTCGAAGTCCATGGCCTTCAAGTTCATTTCCACTGGAAGCAACTGTAGGCTCTCTGCGGCGGTCGCTCTGTGTCGTCGCTCTGTGGGGCCTTTCCTGGAACAGAGGGACGTGCAGGGCACACTGACGAGTGTTGGTCCTTTTCGCTGCAATGGTATCTCTTCACCCAGTACTTTCATCATCTCACTTCCTAAATCTTCCTTACTTTGTGTTTTTTTCTTTTTAAAAAATTTTTGTTTTGGGGTTGGCTTTGTATATGATGTAGCATCATGATCAGTTTAACTGGGTTTTTCCATAATTTTGTCAGGTGAAATGAGTAATTTCTTAATATAAAATTTTCTCCTGAACATTAAACTTTTAACCACATCTATATCTTTTATTAATAACCTTAAAAGAATGTTTCAATTCATAAAGGCTTTCTGGATTATTCAGGGTATTAAAATGTTTTCTTTCTTTTCTTCATTTTGGTTCATTACTTTAAAAATAGATACTAATCAGATGTAGATAACCTGTGCGATTGATTATAATTCTGTATTAGATATTATTTATGTGAGTAGTGTCTGTATTTGTCTGTTTGTTTTTATTATGATGGTAGAAATAGTCGCAGCTTGTGTTTGTACAGGATTAAATTTTGCATGCTAAGGTGTAGTGGCCAATTCTTAGAGTAGAATAGACCTGTTGCCTCTGAGTTGATACAGAGTGCGACTCTTCTTTTGGATTCCTGAAGCTGCAGATCTCTGGCAACAGACGGCATCATCTTTCTCCTGTGAAGTAGCTGGTAGACTTGAACTGTAGTCAGCAACTCAGCACCTAGCTCACTGTGTCTTCAGGGTTACTTTAGATATTTCTTATCAGATAGCAAGTGCACACTAATGTCTGGTGGGTCTTCCACCAGTGGTACCACTGAAGAAAGCCAGTCACAGTACTGTACCATGCTGGTAGGAAGAACGCCAAAACTATGGGGCCATCCCACTTAGGCACAAAAGGTATCCTGCAAAACCCAACCTTTTATGATCAATATAACTTGGCAAACCAGGACTGGAGGGACAGTGCCCACCATCGTAACAGTCCTTCCTGGAAAGTCATCTCCGTGTGCAAGGTGGGAAGCGTCCCCTCTGAGAGCCAGAGCAGCACAGGTTGTCCACTTTCACCACTTCTGCTCGGCAGGGCAAGGACAACATGGAGGAAGATATACCTAATAGCCCCCAAATCCGCAGAAGGGGAAGCCATGAGAGCTGGTGACCAGAATCGGCCAAGGTGGATGCAAGATCACACAACACCAGCAGTAAGCCAGCTAAAGAAGGAAACCGTTCCCTTTGTGGCATTATCTAAAAGTAAAGTGCCTGGGATGGTTGTGCCAGCGTGCAGCACCCCTGAGACAGGAACGAAGGCCTGACCAAAGGAAAGACACACTCGTGGGTTGCAAGGCTTTATCTCGTCAGGATGCAAGGACGTAAGTGATCTGCAGAGTGGATACAAACCTAGTAGTAACCTTTAGTGCATGGATGGAACGGCCAGCACTCCTGTGGCTCCCCCAACCTCTAAAAGCCTCAGAGACTCCAGATCCAATCAACTCTTCCACGACCACGAGGGTATTACTTAGACCATCCGGCTTACTTCCATTTCCTTCCCAGCCACAGACTGGGCAGCACATCTGACACACTACCACCCTGACCCAGCGACCACTTGGGAGATCTCCACACTCCCCAAAGAAAGAAATGGAAAGGTCATTCACTCCTCTCATTTCTATGGAGTTACAAGAGAGTCTGAATGAAGAGCTAAGACAACTTTGGAGAATAAAAAGTGGGTGTAGGATCACTACTGTTTCCCAATTTTTGGACAAGTCACGACTGTGTGATGTAACGCTGGGGTAGAGTTGAGGGTCTGGTTTGGCTTCAGCCGGGCTCCTGAGTGCTTTGAGTGCGTAGACAACGCTCTCTTAAGAGAAGGGCACTGCACCAACTAGCTCCCACTGCCATCAAGCGGGAGGACACAGCAGAGCTGAGTGTCTTCACAGACGTGGCCTGGTTGAAAGGAACCAGGTAGGGATTCTAGAACTGGGGAATGCCCCGCCTGGTCCATACTTGGTGTGACTGAGCTAGTTGGCAGATGAGATGTGCTGGAAGAAAGACCGCTGGAAGGGAAGACCCCCAGCAGAAATGGTTGCATCAGAAAAACACTGTCCGATGGGCCCAACATTTCAGTCGAGTCCCATAAAAAGTTCGGTAAGAAAGAAAGCTTGAAGAACTCCTGATTGTAGCATCTCTAAATTTGATGAAAGATGGCAGCCCACAGATTCTAGAAGTTCAGCAAACCCCAAGCAGGATACGTTCCAAGAATGTCAACGTGACTGCCGTCATCTCTGACGTTTTTTCTCTGCACGTAGGGTGCTGCCTCCTCCGGCAGAGCCTCCCTGCAGACTGCTTTCTCCACCTTGGCTGTGACCACTCTTGCTCAGGGCCGCCTGTGCATCCACCAGGGAAGTCTTGTGGGTCCACCATTCTGTCTTTAGATGGGCTGTTTTCCAGTGTCCGACATTTGCCTATCTGTACCTCTCACAAAGCTGAGAATGCGTGCAAGCAGCACAACCTTTAACACACACACCCCCCCCCAACCAGGTGGCCACAGTTTTGGAATTGGGGATGTGGACCTGTCCTGAGCGGGATAGATGTGTCAGTAAATCATGGAGGTGGTGGCTGGTGTCAGGATGTGCCTCAAAGCTGGGGCCTCTGCTGTACCGCTGAGGGGGATAAGGGCAAGAGTCAGGAATGGTACAGAAAAACCCGAGGTGTGCATCTATGGGGGCCTTACCTCCCCGTCATTGGGCAGGTGCATGTGAGGCTGCAATGTCTGGGCCCCAGACATTGGCAGTGCTCTCTGGAGATGGTCCCACATGTGACCACTGTCCTTGAGGCAGAGTGAGCTGGCATGCAGCGAGGCAGTGCCATGTGCCTGCACTGCAGGTGTGACCTCCTAGAACGTGCCCTCTTGCCCTCGAACTGGTGTGGCTCAAGGGCAGCTGCCAATGAATCACAGGCACCTTAGGGTGAAACGTCTCTGGGTGTTGCTGGGGCATGCCAAGGGGAACCGGGAGCCCGGTGGTAGACGAGTAGGGATGCATTCTGGTCACAGGGCACTGGTGCAGGGTCTGGCCGGTGAGGCCCCCACTATCCTCATGAGGTCCCAGGGCCACATGGAGCTCCTGCTTCTGGGGCTCAGGCGAATCTGTGTTGCAGGATGCTGAGGGTTCCACGTGTTTGCACCTGGCTGCCAAGAAAGGTCACTACGACGTGGTCCAGTACCTGCTGTCCAATGGACAGATGGACGTCAACTGCCAGGTGAGGTAATGCCCCCATGGAGAGCTACCCCGGACCGTGTCTGTCCCCACTGCTCTGGAGGCTTTGTTGTACTGCGAGGGCAGCTCCGTTCCCAGCCTGCTGCCCCTGCTCCCTCCTCCTGCCCCCTTGTCCCTGGTTCCCTGCCCTTAGTTCCCGACCCTCTGCTCCTGGCCCGCTGAAGAGCCTGCTACCAGGATGGTTGGCTTTTTCGCCTAGGCTCTTCCGACACTTGAGTGATTGGCTTGAGGGCCTGACCACTGATCCCTTGGCCTGGGTGGGGCCAGTGGGCCAGGAGCTGCAGGCGGAGCTCACCTGCATGGCGCAGTGGCTCCAGCTCCTGCTGCTATGGTCTGTGTCCTGCCATTAGGATGATGGAGGCTGGACGCCAATGATCTGGGCCACCGAGTACAAACACGTCGACCTGGTGAAGCTGCTGCTCTCCAAGGGCTCCGACATCAACATCCGAGACAACGTGAGTCCCCTTGGGAGGTCCTCCGGAGACCGATGGCCTGATGGCACCAACCAGGCTCTGACAAGGCTGCCTGCTTCCCTCAGCCTTCCTGGCAGCTTTGTGTCCATGGTTGCTAGAAGGGAGTTGAGAGCGGGCTGCAGTGGGCGGGGCCCAGGCTCTTCTACCGTCTGCCACCGCTCTCCCCACAGCCGCTCCTTGGGGAGACCGAGAAAGGCAGGAATGCCCACAGCTGTGTGTGCAGTGGTCTTCTGCCCTGAATCTATGACACCACCTTGGTGGGTGGTTCTTACAGACGGATGTCTGTGCCTCGAGGGTCGGACGTGGGGCCCCAGAGAAGGGCTCCCCAACTCCCGCCTATAGGGCAGGACTCGACTCTTTCCAGGGCGAGGCCACAGCATCTTTCCTGCTGCTTTTCCCACAGAAGGGTCCTCAGGTGACTTGGGATGTGGGGCAGGGGCCATAAGCAACCTTGGCAACCCCTGGCCAGGAAAGTATTAGAGGAGTCTGGCTTATGACTGAGCAGTCACCCTCAATCCCAGTAACGGGCTGAGGAGTTGACAAGGCTTTTGTGAGCACCGAGTACTGAGCGGCTGGCATCTGGGCAGATGCCTCCCCAGGAGAGAAGATACCATTTCTGCAAATCCCTGGGACCCCGAGGGACAGAACTAAACAGAGAAAGGCCATGGTGGTCTTTCTGCTCCTGCCGCAGCGCTCGCTCAACACTGAAGCCCCACTGAATGGAGAGTGACAACCCCCCTCCCCAGCAGGCTCCGCCTGTCAAACACTGGGCCTGGCTGACCTGTCCCAATGCCTCCCAGGCTGGCCATCCTAAGCCACCTACACTGCTCCCCTTGTCTGCTCACAGAGCCTCATCCTGTATTGGGATGATGGGACTGTTTTGAGATCCTGGGTGAGATTTAAATGGAGAATGAGGGAACTAGGGTCACTGGTCTGCACTAGGAAGAAGTCCATCATGAGCCCGAGCTTGCCTCGCTGACCTCTCTGCCTGCGCATCCTGGAAGTCTCCTGAAGGCTGCTGTGGGGATGCTTGCAGACTTGTGTCCCAGGGCACCTCTGTGTCCAGGGTGGGTTCACCTGCAGCTGGCAGAAGTCCCTCCATGGCGTGAGAGCGGAGCTCGGAGGAGAGAAGAGCTGGTGGCTCTGACTGGGGTGGGGGACTGTACTGTACGTGTTGCCTTGTTTTACTTCAACACTGTTTGGATTCAGGTGGCACACTGCACCCATTAGACGTGCACCTTTGGTGGATAGGTTTGAAGCGCAGACTCATTGCCACAGTCTGGTTGGTGAGCCTGGGTGTAACATCGTGCCTGGACGTCAGCCCCCACAGCCTGCTGCCTTCACTGAGGATCTGCTTGCGTGTTCTGAGTTCACATTAATGAAACCACACCAAGTGTTGTCTTTTCTTCTGTGGTCTGTCTGGCCGCGCTCGTCAGTACAGTTCTCTGAAGTCTCTTCTCATGGATGTGGCTCCCCGCAGCTCAGCACGATCCCTCTGAGATCCCTCCCTCTGTGCTTGTGTGGGCTCCCCTCGGCACTGGGGCTTGGTTTGGTTATCGATTGATCACAGCTGAAGTACCCTGTATCTGTTGATCAGTTTTAAACTGTTACAGATAAAGTTGCTGGGAGTGGAGGTGGTGATGTTAGGTTCCTTTGGTCCGTTCCACCCCACAGCAATCCCAAGTGCAGAGAAAAATCACTGCCTGGTACTTAGCCGAGCTAGCAAGCAGTGCTAGGTTTAAGCCCACTGTCACAGCCTTGGTGTCAGTCCGTCTTATAGAGGGAGGATCTTTCTCTTCTTCACTGACCCTCTTTCAAGCAGGGTGTCCTCCAGGGACTGCTCCTGATAGCATGTCCAAAGTCTCACCGTTCTTGCTTCGAAGCCGTATTTTGGCTGTACTTGTCAGACAGATGTGTTTGTTCTTCATCAGTGTGTGCACGGTTACTAGTCTTTGCCAATGCCATAGTTCAAGCACATCCATTCTTATCCATTCTTATTCATGTCCCAGCTTCCATGTGCATGGCGTGAGTTGGTTTACCTCAGCTCAACGCTCTGCTTTTGACCCTTTAAAAGAGGTCTCGTGCAGCAGATTTTCCCCGTGTGCCTGCTGTTTGAGCGTTGCTTTCCAGGACATTGATGGTGGGCTTGAGTGAAATGAAATCCTTGACAACTTGTGTATTTTCTCTAATTATTATTGCACTGGATATTGGTCCGATTGTAAGGATTTTTTTGCTTTATGTTTACTGAAGGCTTTAGTCTTTGATGATTTTCATCAGTAAATCCTGTGAGCTCCCTTCACTTTTAGCAAGCGAGGTTGTGTTCTCTGTGTATCAGTTTGTTAGTGAGCCTTCTTCCAATCCTGATAGCAACACTGTTACAGTCCAGCTACTCGGAATATCTGCCCAGCACACAGGTTAAATACGCAAGATACAAGGATCCACCCCTGGTGCACACTTTTCCTGCTTTTAAACCACTCAGCACCCTGTGTTCTGTTGGAATGACTGCCTCTTGGTCTGTGGACCAGTGCTGCATGAGTACAGTGATGTGTGCTGAAAGCCTCTTTCACATGGGGTTGTCCATGGCTGTTTATGATCTTTACAGCTGAGTATCTTTGTATCGTCAGTAAAACAAACAGCTTTCGGTATTCTCTGTTTGCAGACAAGATCCACTTGACATCAGCAATGATATCCCTTTGCAATGTCCTCTTCTTAATCTGGCTTGAATTTCTGCAATTCCCTCTATTACTGCCATAGCTGTTTGTGAAATGGCTTCATCCTAATTCTACAAGTGTGCTGTGAGTGATACTGTTCCGTGACTTGTGCACCGATTACATAGCCTTTCTTTGCAATGAGCACAGATAGGGATTTCTTCAGTGGGGTGGCCAGGTCCCTGTCTCTGAGTTTCTTGGCATAGACTGCTCCCGGCCCCATGAAAGGTTTTGGAGCTTTTCCATTGTTTTCCCTCTTTCCCGGAGCTCTGCTTGTTACCAGTGCCTCCAGGACATCAAGAACCTCTTCCTTCCATACCCTCAGAGGTGTTTTTATCACGTGCCTCCTGAAATGGTGGATCATTTCTTTTCTGGCACAATGACTCCATGAATTCCTTCGATGTTTCCTGCCTCCTTCACTATTTTGTTCGTCGAATCCTTCGAGAATCTAGCATGAGGCCCGAGTTTTTCCTTCAGTTCTTTCAGCTTGAGGATTGTAGAGACTCTTCCCTTTTGTTTTTCCGACTATAGGTCTCGGCACATTCTATGACCTTGTCTTCTGACCTGCCCTCTAGAATCTTCTGTTCAGCTGTCAGAGTCTCCTGTGAACTTCGTCTTGATGCTTTCTTTCCTTGTCTTTCCAATGGGCGCGTGTTTCTTCATGGTGTTGTGTCAGATAACAGCCCACAACTCAGTCCGGTCTTCGTGCGTTCTTGGTCAATGTGAGGAGTCTGTGCTTGAGAGGCTCTCAATGCATGTGAGATGTACTCCAGGTATTCTTTGGTTCTTGTTGACTTGTTTTGACTTTCTTCAGCTTGAACGTGCATTTGTGCAATTGATGTTCAGTGGCCGGGCCCTGGCCTTATTCTGATTGATGATAGAGCTTCTCCTCATCTCGTTCCACAAAGGTAGCCAGGTGATTTCTGTGTTTTCCGTCAGACAAGGGCCACATGAGTCGTCGCCATTCTGTGGTTGAAAGAACATACTCAGCAGGAGGAGTTGTTGGTCTCCTGTCACATGATCTGTTGGTCCTGTAGCTAGGTGACCTACATGTAATCTAGCATGCATAATTCTATCATGTGATCTACAGTGTCATTTCTCTCAGTAAGGCCTAGTGTCTCACGACCTATGGTTTACTTTGTTTTTAACTTTGCCAGTTCAATTGCCAGTAATTATCAATGCATTTAATTGCACGTTTGATTGATTTTTAAACTGTAGACGTTAGTAAAAATCATCAATAGCTTCACCTTTGGCATGCACAGTAGGTGGTTGTCCATTTGAGTAATGGTCATATTAACTGGCATTCTTCAGAGGCCCGTCGATAGGACCCAGTCACTGAGAGCGTTGCACTTCAGGACCGGTCTTGAAATGCATGTGGTGCCATCCCTGTGTCATAGTGGACTGTGACCCACTTTGACTTGGCGTTTTGTTTATGGCATGAGGCGTGGGTGGACCCCTTGTGTGAGGCTATTCTTTCTTTCTCGAGTGGCCTTTGCACAAGGAGTCCGTGCCTGGGCTCCCTTCTCTAATTGCTGGATGCTTGACTCTACATCAGTGTCACTCAGTCCTGATTACTGTGCTTTGTGATCAGTCTTCATACCCCATGTCGGCCCCGAGCCTTTCCGCAGTACATGTCCATCTCTCTGGAGAGCTTCGTAATGTCGGAGGAAGCATTCCCTTATCTTTCAATTCCATTTCCTACAAACTTTCTAGAGCCCTTCGTACATCTAGAAATGTCCTGACCACCCCCCACCCCCCACCCCCACCCCCGCCACCCCCACACCTTGTTTAGACTGGCAGTTAGCGCTGTCTGTTGGTGCGTTCCTTCTGCCTCTCTGACCCTTTGGGTGTTTCTGGGGGCTGTTCTGTCCCTGTTGAGCCCTTCTGTGTACCTGGCACTGTCTATTGTGCCTCCAGACCTTGAAGATATTTGAGGCCGGTTGTCCGACTCGGGCTCTTGTCCCTGAGTCCCGTGCTCTCTGTCCCTGCGGAGAGGGACGCTGCTGCCCCCGGTGCTGCCCCTCTGGGTGCTGCTTTTTTCTCAGGCCCATGCAAGCCTCCCCCTTGACCTCGGCCCCTTGACAGCTCATGATGGTCCCTGGTGGTTCTGTTTTTGTGCTGGTGGCTGGGAGAGCTTGTTGGGTTTAGAGTTTTTATCAAATGAGAACATTTTCAATCAAGTCTTCAAAATGTTGTTTCTGCCCCTTCCTTTCAGGTGGTCCAGCTACACACACATCGGTCCTCTTCACGATTCCCATAGCTCATGGGTGCACTGCTCATACTTTAGAATAAAGCTTCCACTCTTTTTCTTGAAATAGCGAGCTCTCATTGCCCTGTCTTCTGTTGACATCTAGTGTTTCCCCTACTGCTGATAATCCCATCCATTGGAGGTCAGCGCAGTTTGAGTCTTTTTAATATAATCAATGCTACTTTCGATTACGAATGTATTCAGTACGGTTTTGATACTTTGTTTATTTCCTGCTCAGTTGCTTTTGCTAGCTTGTTCTCTCTCCTCAGTATGAGTCACATTTTCCTGATACTTTCTTTGCTTGCTGTCCTTCTCTTCGATAACCAGACATTGTGAATTTTACCCCCCTGGGGCCTGGGAGTTTTATGTCTTGTAAAATATTCTTGACCTTTGTTCAAAGACATAATTAAGTTCCTTGAAAGCAGCTCAGTTTTTTTTGGATTTTGCTGGTTCGATGGGTGCAGGGCTCCTTCACTCTCCTGAGAACGTTTCTGTGCCCCGTGGCTGTGCACCAACCGGGCAGACCAGGCACACTCTCCTTTCTGTCTGTAGGCTCCCCCAGCTCCTCCCCAGACCTCTTGAGGCTGGGTCTCCCGGGGCTGCTGCTGGGCGCTGTCCAGACCCCTCACACGAGTTCCACCTCACTCTCCCAGTCCACCGCCGCCGAAGAGCCGTGCATCTCCTCGGCTGCCCTTGAAGGGAGGCCAGGCCCACAGGCTATGAGGTGCAGTGGATTGGGAAGCCGTGGTCTGCGATGAGAGTCACTCTGGTGGAGGCCACGGAGGAGTGCCCTGGGGAGAGCAGAGCAGAGTGCTCTGCGCACAGAGAGGGCCAGCACCTGTGGCAAGATCTAGCCCATGCTGGGACTGTGGGTTGTTGTGGCAGAAGAGACAGAGCGCTTCAGAGGAGAGGGTGGGAAGGCCACATGGCACAGGTGGACAATGCTGGTGGGGCCTGTGGACAGGAGGCAGACTTACAGAAGCCCTTTGATGATGATGGAGGGGGGGAGTGTCCATCCAGGGCTGTCTGTGACCCCTGAGTACCAAAGCACCCTCTTCCCCCACCAAGGGCATCATGTCCAAGAGGGAGCCCCGGGAAGGCTCTCTAGCCCAGCTGTGTCAGCCAGGGTCTGAAGGCTGGGCAGGCAGGCAGGCAGGAGCCAGGGCTGGAGCGGGAACCCCCTACAGGGGCTTCAGAAAGGTCTGGACTAAGTCATCGACTTTCCAGCCAATCTGCAGGAGAAAGACGGGGCTTCCTGCTCCCTTAAAGCAACAGTTCTAACCTGTGGGTTGCGAGCCCTTTGGGGGTGGAATGACCCTTTCACAGGGGTCGCCTGAAACATAACAGCATCAAAATGACAGTGATGAAATAGTAACGAAAATAATTTTATGGTGGGGGTGGGGGGGTGGTCACCACCACCTGAGGAACTGTATGAAAGGATCATGGCATGAGGAAGGTTGAGAACAACTGCCTGAAAGAGTAACAGTCCTGGCGCTCGCAGGGGCAGCGCTCCCTGTCCTCTAGGGGCGCCGTGAGCTGCACAGACTCTCCGTGGCAGTGAGAACAGATGTGTGCGAAAGTAGATGCTTTAGTGAATCCGTTACTTTAGAGAGAGTCCCACGGCTGCCTCACGGGGGCTGGTCCTGCGCGGTCCCCACAGTCACCAGCGCAGAGAGGCTTGTGCTCACCTGTGCCCACAGCCAGCAGACTGGGCCGCGTCTGAGGGTTTGTCGTCTGCTTTTCCCACGTGCAGGGCCAGCCTGGAAGCTCCCCTGACACCCGCCTGCCAGGGAGCCCCTATTGGTGTGTGAAATACTGGTGGCACAACTTTCAGCATCCCAACCACTGGAAGCCACCACAGTGTGACACAGTAACAAAGAGTAGTTTGATTTTATAAATGTAAAACTTTCATTTAATTGAATTTGTATTTACAGACCTTAGACAGTAATTATCCTGTGCTGTGATTATAACTCTCATAAAATGTATATAGTTTTCAGAGCTGGAAGAAGTCTCTCGAGACATTCTGGTAACTGTGTAGGGTCAGGTGGTCTATGCTGGATAACTTGGGTTTTCTATTTTTAAAATATCCTCTACTGGACTTGGAGCCCTGGTAGCGCAGTGGATTAAGTGTCCTACTGCTAACCGCTAGCATTTAGAACCACCAGCTGCTCAGCGGGAGCCCATCTGTTCCCGTGAAGATCGGCCGCCTTGGGAACCCACCAGTGCCTCTCTGCTCCAAGCTGTGGAGTCGCTGTGAACGGCAGTGGGCATCCCAGGGCAATGTTGCCGTCATGAGGACAAAGTCCTGGGTCAGAGAGGGAGGCGGCGGCTGCCCTCACTCATGGCAACCTCTGTCTAGGAGGAGAACATCTGCCTGCACTGGGCTGCGTTTTCAGGCTGCGTGGACATCGCAGAGATCCTGCTGGCCGCCAAGTGCGACCTGCATGCCGTCAACATCCACGGAGACTCGCCACTGCACATTGCTGCCCGGGAGAACCGCTACGACTGTGTTGTGTACGTGAGGCCTTGGGGCACGTGAGGACCCTGGGGCACCCTGACTGTCTGAGGGAGATCTTTTCTAAGGCTGGGGAGTGTTTCTTATGTGAAGGTAGCAGCTGTGTTTCTGGTTCAGGGAGGTCATTTCAACAATCCTCACACCTCCATGCCCACTCTGCAAGTGGGCGCTGAGCTCACCCGCTTGCCCAGAGTGGGCAGGCCATGGGCATCGTGTCTTCCTGCCCGCCTGCTCAGGGAGTGTGTGTCTGGTGTCCAGTGGGCGCTGGCCAGGGCGGCACGTGTGCCGTCCTCATGACCTCCACGTGTCTTTCAGCCTCTTCCTCTCTCGGGATTCGGACGTCACCTTGAAGAACAAGGAGGGGGAGACGCCGCTGCAGTGCGCCAGCCTCAATTCCCAGGTGTGGACTGCCCTGCAGATGAGCAAGGCCCTGCGGGACTCGGCGCCCAGTCAGCCCGCTCCAGCGGGGCGGACAGTGAGCAGGTCAGCAGCAGGCCCAGAGCGTGGGCGGCAGGTCCTGGTGGCGCCTTCCTCTCTCTGGCCCTGGCTCAGCCAGCCCTGCAGCAGCCCCCTGTGCTCTCACAGGGACATTGCCCGGGGCTATGAGCGTGTGCCTATCCCGTGTGTCAACGCGGTGGACAGCGAGCCGGGCCCTAGCAACTACAAGTACGTGTCCCAGAACTGCGTCACGTCGCCCATGAGCATCGACCGGAGCATCACCCACCTGCAGGTCCGGGGACTCCCAGCCCGCATGGCCACCCAGGCCACTTGAAGGACCATGGGCATTGTGCGGGTCTAAGGAGGGAGGGGGGCTTTGGTGTGAGGGAGAGGCCTGGGGCTGGGTGTTCCCGGGCATGGGCCGGGCCCTGGACATGGGGGTGTTGGTGCCCTACTCCAACTGGGCCCCCCTTTCCCCTCAGTATTGCGTGTGCATCGATGACTGCTCCTCTAGCAATTGCATGTGTGGCCAGCTCAGCATGCGCTGTTGGTACGACAAGGTGAGCCTGCCGGGCCGGGGTGTGTGTGGTTTGGTGTGGGGTGGTGTGTGTGTGTGTGTGTGTGTGTGTGTGTGGTTGGACCATGTCAGAGCAGCAAGCCCACAGGGAGAGAGGAAGTGTGTCATAAGACCTGGCTTTGTGCTTGTTGTGTGGAGCTGCCCGAGGGGCCGCAAGGCGAGGGGGATGGGCACCACAGCCCAGAGAGAAGGAAGCCGCCAGGCAGAGGGGGTGCTGGGCAGGAGCAGCCTCTGGGCTCTGCAGAGGGGGTCCTGGGCAGGAGCAGCCTCGGCCCCAGCAGATCAGGGAGCCACCAGAAACCAAGAGCCACGTGCTCCGTGGTTCTCAGGCGCGGGCATCTCTGGGGTTGGGGGGTGCTCCCTGCACTCGGCTGAGAGGTGCTTAGGTGTCTGCTGGCAGGGTAGCCCAGGGAGCTGCCGAGTTTGCAAGACAGAAAGGCCACAAGCTGTGTCTGGGTGGCAATCTCAGTGGGCACCCAAAAGAGGGGTCTGGGAAGGCCAGCGGGGGGCAGTCAGCTGCTCTGGTCATCCACTTGGAGACTTTCCATCCAAGCAGCCCACATGTGGCCTCCCCTTGGGCGCAGGCCCAGACGGTGCTCTGGCAGGAAGTGGTCTTTGGATGTCTACCCGGGCCATGCTGGGTGCTGTGCTCCGTCTGAGTGGCGGCCAGCAGCTCTGACCACGAGTCTCCCCAGGACGGCCGCCTCCTGCCGGAGTTCAACATGGCCGAGCCGCCCCTGATCTTCGAGTGCAACCACGCCTGTACCTGCTGGAGGAGCTGCCGCAACAGGGTCGTGCAGAACGGTCTCAGGTAGCACCCCTCCAGACCCATGTGGGACCTGGGCTTCCAAGTTGGAAAATGGCTAGTTCCTGTAGAGATCTGCTCTGCCCAGGCCCTGGTGTGTCTGTGTAGGCAGGAAGCTAGTGTGTTTATCTGGGCATGTGCCCATAGGCCCGTATGTGTGTGCGCTTGTGAGTCTGTTATGTTCAGATGTGTCTGCACACCTGTCTTCCTGTGCGTGGATGTGTGTCCCTGTGCACCTGCCTGTGTGAGTGCTCAGAGAAGTGGTGTACCTCTAACTTTTTCTTCTGGAATCACAGCACCCATTTTAAACGACCCAAACAATTGCTGCCTGCCAATTGGATGTAGATCTGATGCGTAGGCATGAGAAGACATGAGAGAAGGAACGGACTGGGCCCTTTAAGCTAGAAAGCAGACATGAACTTAACGAGGGGCCAAGCGTGTGCTAGTGAGCTCACATGCAGAGCAACGCTGGTGGGGCATGCTGGCATCCTACGCCCTCTGTGGGGACCCTCCTTTCTCCGGCAAGGCTTGCTGTGATGCCTCTAACCGGCCTGGGCCTGCTGGCATGGCCATGCCCTCTGTGGGCTACCTGGTGCCTGCAGCCCAAGGTCTGTTCTCTTGTTTGCTGTGGGAGGGCCTACGCAGAGTGGAGATGTTAGGGGACTTGGCTTCTGCCCACCATAAGTAACCGGAGGGGACAAGGCTGGCATACACACCACCCGCCCACCCTGTTTCCATCGACCAGTCCACCCCCCACCTCCACTCGGGGACCCCTTCAAAGCTGCTGTGCCCAGGAATCGGCCAAACCTTGGTGCGCCTGTCTGTCCCTCACTACATGTGTTCATGACCATCTGCACGGCCACCAAGGAGAGGCGGGCCCACAGTTCCTGGGGGTCCCTGTCCTCATGAGGTGTGCTGGCCCTGAGCACCCCTCCCTTACTGCACCCTACTGTGAGCAGGGGTCTGAGGCAGGGGGTGCACCCAGGGGACGTCCCACATGCATAATGCCTGTTTCTTTTCCCTGTCTGTGTCTCATGTCGGGAGCCCATGGGAGGCCCTGGTGCCAGGCGATTCAGCAGCCACGCCAGCCCCTCACGCACTGTCTGCTTCCAGGGCTCGGCTGCAGCTCTACCGGACGGAGAACATGGGCTGGGGTGTACGGACCCTGCAGGACATCCCCCTGGGCACCTTCGTCTGCGAGTACGTGAGGCCCAGCCCTGCCCCGCCCAGGAGCAAGTCCCATCCTCGGGCACCTGGGGTAACGCCCATCCTGCGTGGTTAGGACAGGGTGGGAGGAGAGGGCCTCCCAGGTACCCTGAGGACGTGGTCTGCTGGCCGGACAGGCCTCTGGATGCCATTGCCTTGCAGTGTGAGCAGGTTGCTGTCGCTTGGTCCAGCATCTTTCAGTCATAGGCAGGGACCCTGTGGAGAGGCCAATTCGGCTGGTGACCAGGAGTCCTCTGAGCTCTGCACACCCGTCACGGTGTCGGCTTCCTTGCTGCCTCCCTGGTGTGCGGGAGTCCAGCTCATGCTGGGCAGCACCCTCTCGGCCCGAGGCTGACAGAAAGACAGACAGGTCCTGTGCGGCTGTAACCGCTCTGCTGGGCGCAGAGGGAAAGCCGGCTGAGCTTCTGCACGTCCGGCGGTACTTGGGGTTGGGTTCCCTGCGGTTCTTTGTTCGTCCGTTCACCCTCTTCCTGCAGGTACGTCGGGGAGCTTATCTCTGACTCCGAGGCTGATGTCCGGGAAGAGGACTCCTACCTCTTTGACCTTGACAATAAGGTGGGTAAGACCGGGGCTTCAGGGCAATGGTGAGTGAGGGGAGACGGCCTTGAGACGTCAGCACAGAAGACGGGTCCTCAGGCCCCAGTGCCGGCTCCGTGCTGTGGCCGGAGGATGGGGCGTCCTCAGCAGGGTTGGCAGACAGCACACCGCTCGCTCTAGGCCACACACTGCCCGCTTTCAGCTGAGCTGGGCTGGGCAGTCCATGAGGTCAGCCTTTGAGTGGCACTGCTGGTGGAGAATGCTGGCGCTGCGGGGACGGATGCATCCCGAGGAAGACTGCCCGTCCGATACATTGATGTTTGGCGAAGCAGAGAGTCAGCAAATACGGGGTGGGGCTGTGTGTGTGAAGCAAGTGGACATGATAGCTACAGCAGTGGGCTGAGACATCCCAGGGTTGGAGAGAAGGGGCTGGGCCACCAACGTTGCATCAGGGCTAGCAAGGTGGTTCTGTCACAGCATCCTCCTCTGTCACGGGAAGACCCAGGCTGACTCCAGCCCATGCCCGTCACGTGCAGTCACTGCCCATCAGCAGAAGCTGGGTGCTGCTCAGCGCCAAGCAGGTCTCAGCAGACCTGCACTGGGGACAGAGGCCTGGTGATCCTCCAGAAACCGGGCTCTCGTCCAGCACCGGGCACCACCTTTGTGTGGGATGTCCGTGAGCCTGGTGGGTGAGCCTGATGCCCCCATGCACGAACGTTTCAGAGGCAAGGGCCGATGGCCCTGGTGACAGTGACTGCTGCAGGACGTGAGGGCAGGGTTTCTCTGCCACGCTCAGTGTGTCCACTGGGGCCGAGGGCACACTCCAGCTTTCCCCACACAGTGGGGAGTGCCTGGATTGGGTTCTTGTGTGGGGAGAGCAGGACCGTGAGGCAGAAAGTCCAGGGAAAGGAGGCAGCCTGTGCATGTTGGTCCTGGTGAGGGACACGGAACGTGCCGCGGCCTTTCAGAACAAACGGCTCCATCTAGGGCAAAGCACGCCCAGAGTGCTCTGTAAGAGGTGAGCATGCGGGGCTTCGCCTCACGGACTTTGGATGTGTTGTCGGGAGAGACCTGTCCCTGGAGAAGGACGCCGTGCTTGGTAAAGTAGAGGGGCAGCGACAGAGGAAGGCCCTGGACGAGGTGGACGGACACAGTGGCTGCTGCAACCATGGGCTCAGGCGAGGGGACAGTTGTAAGGATGGCGCAGGCAGGACTGGGAACTGTTTCATTCTCTGGAGCAGAGGGTTGCTATGGGTTGCAGCCAACCTCACGGCACCTGACCACACGCACGCAGGCTCGTACTCTGACTGCACGCGCATAGGCAGGCTCATACGCGCCATTAACCTGGAGCCATTTTCTCAGATACAGATCAGATTTTGTTTGAGTTCTTTTCAGTTTCAGAATCCTTTTAGTTTACCCTTGGATTTGAGGTGAGCAGCTCTAGGAAAGGGGTTGTTGGCTCCTTGCTCCTGCTTGGTCCTTGACCTCCCCTCCAAGTAACCACGTATGTGAAGTGCATCATGTATGCCCGTGCCCCGCCCTCGCCCTCGCCAGGGGCAGTCCCCTCCTCAGTCGTCCAGAGCCTGCTTCATTCGGGCCAGGCCATTTCCACCTCCGCTGGGGTCGTCCACACAGTCTGCAGGGCCGAGTCCTCTGTGCTAGCAGCCCCTCTGGACCCTGTCCATGTGGCTGTCTTCTGGGTTTGCCCCATGGGGGTGACAGTGGCGCACATCTCAGGGCAGGACTCCCCGTTGGGCCCTCCTGCAGCTATACCTTCCTCTGAGCATCCCTGACCATGACCCAACTGGGTGCTTTGGCCAGGCCTGAGCTGCGGCCCTGGCTCTGACCCTAACCCTAACCCAGCTGGAGTGCTCCGGCTAGGCCTGAGCTGCAGCCCAACCCTGACCACAACAGGTGCTCTGGCAGACCTGATTGCCTCAGGACTGACTCTAACCCTAACCCCTCAGGACTCCACCCTGTGGCAGCTGGGGCTCTCACCGTGGGCTGCAGACCACTCTCGTGTGCCAGGCCTTCCTGCCCTGCTGCTCATGCCACTGCCTCCAGACTCAGGGCAGGTAGCCTGGTGGCGGCCGGTGACTGAGTTCATCCCTGCACCTGGCAGCCTGTTACAGCAGGACCCTGAGTTCCTGTGACCTTTGGGGTTGCTACCTGCGGCGAGTTTCTGGTTAGGGTCAGCACGTTTTGGGTTTAGATTTGGCCATGAAGTGCTGCCCGTCTGCTGCCCACCTGTGGGTGGACACCGTGGCAGCCAGGACTGGACTTGCCCTCAGCTGCCCAGTACCCAGCTGCGAATCAGTGCAGTGGCCAGAGCAGCAGCTGCCCTCAACTGAGTCCTACGTGCTTGATGGCTCTTTCACACTCGGGGCAGGTGCGACCACCCTTCTGTGGTCACGGTGTGGGAGCCCGCCCACTCCCAGTGCCCTGTGGTTCAGGGATACTGGGAGACCTTACTGAGGTGGTGGGCTTGTCCCTTGGTTGTGGGTCTTCTGCTGGCAACCACCCAGACAGGGGCCATCCTGCCCTGTGGAAGCCCTGCAGAGTCTGAGGCCTATGCCCTTGCCCACCCCCCAGGACGGCGATGTGTACTGCATCGACGCGCGCTTCTATGGCAACGTGAGCCGCTTCATCAACCACCACTGCGAGCCCAACCTGGTGCCTGTGCGCGTCTTCATGTCCCACCAGGACCTGCGCTTCCCCCGAGTTGCCTTCTTCAGCACTCGCCCCATTGCAGCCGGCGAGCAGCTTGGGTAGGTGGGGAACCAGGTAGGGGGTGCCCTGGGAGTGAGGGATGTGGAGGGCCTCCTGTGTGTTCACATGTGTAGCAGTGTGTCTGTGCGCGTGCTCGGGCACGGCGTAGGAGGTACGAGGCAGGCTGCACAGCACAGGGTGAGCAGTGAGCTGAGGGGTCTCAGCGGAGCTACTGTGCTTACAGGTCACACAGATGAAAAGGGGTCCCCCCCTCCCCAGGAAGAGCTGGCTCCCTGGCTCTTCCCCCCAACCGCCTCCTGATTACTGTACCCCCCCACATGGTCCCATCAGTTGGTGTGGGGTCCAGAGTCCCCTAGGCAGGGTTTGCTAGGGGATCCCATTGTACCCACAGAACAGGAACCCCTCGATGTCCTGTCCCGAGCCCTGGCCTCTCCTTATACCAGGGATGTGTGTCTGTCTAGAAACAGGTGATCGTGTGGTCAGGAGAGGGACTGACCCAGTGAGGGGGGTGTGGGTAAGGGCTGTCCATGGGGCTGGGGGTGAAGTAGTGGTCTATGTGAGTGGGGCAGGAGTGGTCTACGTGAGGCAGGGGTGAAGGCAGGGTGAGGGTTCCTGGTGGGATGGCCCTCCCTGTCCCTGTCCCTTGGTCCCTGGCTCTGCTGGCCTATGTAGATGTGATACTGAATCCTACACCTGGTGGCAGTGCCACATGCACAGGCCATCCCAGGGATACCTTCGTCTTCAGGCCAGCTGGCATTGGAGACAGTGTAGGTGGCGTGCCATGCCTGCGGGCCTGTGGCTGGGCAGGGGAGGTGTGGGCACCTGGGGTCCAGGGGGCCCACCTGAGTGCAGCCACTGTCCCCCAGGTTTGACTACGGGGACCGCTTCTGGGACATCAAGGGCAAACTGTTTGGCTGCCAGTGCGGCTCGCCCAAGTGTCGGCGCTCGAGCGCGGCCCTGGCACAGCGGCAGGCCAGCACAGCCCAGGAGGCCCAGGAGAACGGCCTGCCAGACACCAGCTCCTCTGCTACCGCGGACCCGCTATGAGGGCAGGTGGCACAGGAAGCTCCAGTGCACAGTACTTTGGGACCCCGCTTGGAGGGCAGCTGCCACTGAGGAGGAAGGCCGGGGCATTGCCTGCTCGGGGTCTGCCGAGTTCCCAGGTGAGCTGCCCTGTGGGACGCCTAGCAGCCAGGCTGTGCTCAGGCTAAGTGGGGACCTTGGGTGGCCTCTGTGCCCCCGCCTGCCTCCGAGCCACCTTCGCTTCAGGGCTCCCATCCTCCTCTGGTTTCTGATGCCCGCCAGCTGACAGTGTTCTCTGGAAGAGGCTTGTGCACGCCGCCAAAGCACCGTCTTGCTGCCACCAGCGCCGTCCTCGAGGGGAAGACGGGGGGCTGCCAGCCTCGTCCTGTCTGCAGCCTATGAGCAGGAGAACCTTGCAAGCCACTGCGTGGCCACTGGGACACAGCCTTGGTTTCTGAGTCCCTCGCGGCGGTGACAGGACATCCGCTGTGTTTCCTACCGTGACTGAACATGAGGACAGACGGACTAACAAAACAAACAGACAGACATGGTGCTGACCTGGTGTGGTTCTTACTCACCTCGTGAATTATCAACTGTACATGAGAACAAAAGGGGTTTTAGAAAAAAATGCAGGAAATCCGTTTTTTAAGATGTTAGTCTTGTAGTGTGAATAAATTTGCCATCACCTTTTGTGTGGTGGCCACAGGTCACATCCTTTTTTTCTGCATATATCTTTTTAACTACTGTAACGAGTGCGGTAACCGTGACGTTTTGTGCTACTCTTCTACGCAGTCACGATGCGGTCATGTTTATTTTTTCTGTTAAGATGTTTTTGACAGTTTCAAGAGCAGTCTTTTGGCTCCGACCATTTCTTGTTCTGTTTTCAATGAAATCAATAAAAAAAGGACTTTCAGCGAGGGTTTCATGGTGACGTCGTGTCTCGGTGGCTCCTGCTGCCCGAGACGTCAGGGCAGACCATGGGCCCCAGGCCTGCCCGGGTCACAGCCCACGTCACACTGCAGCTTCTCCCCCCGGATGCACCACCTGAGGGCAGCCACCTCTCCAGGCAGGTATCTGTTGCATGTACACGGCATACATGTGTGCCTCTGTACACGTATGATGTGTGCCTCTGTACACATTTGCACACAGGTTTGTCCACAGGATTGCACATCTGTACCTGCACAGTTCTATGTGAAAGCATGTGCACGTGCTTCCATGTGTGTGAGTCTGCCTATGCCTGCATGTGTGTGCAGTATACATGGCTGCAGGAACACGTTTATACATGTCTGGAAGTACATGCATTTGTACACATGTGTATCTAGATTCATGTTAATGTTTGCATGTTAGTACTTGCACATGCATGTGTACATGGGGGGGTCGTGAAATCTGTCATGTGTCCCTGTACATGGGGTTGTCATGAAATCTGGGGGGGGAGGGGTGCTGTGTGTCTGTGCTCCTGTGCATCTCTGTCTGTGGCCTGAAGGGGCAGTACCAGTCCTGGAGACCCTCTCTTCCTCCTGCATGAACAGCATGCCTGGGCCTGGTGGCAGGGTTGCCAAGAGCTGGGCAAAGGTTTTCCTGTGCCCTGCAGCTCTGAGGAGGGTGACCAAACGCATGGGTGCGAGGAGGTTGGATCGGACAAACGCCTGCTCCTCAGCTCAGCCTAGGAGCCTTCCAGCGGTGAGGGGGTTAGATGGGATCAAACAAAACTCTCCACTGCCATCATGGGTCAGGCCACAGGCACACGCTGCCCGTAAGGCTCCACTGGACAAGACTGTGGCCCTCCCTGGACCCTGCGCCCAAACTTGCCTTTAGGGCAAGGCTGACCTGGTCCCCAGAGGGAGCACGGACACTCTGAGGAGTAGCATGGCAGCCCATGAGATTATGTAGAGCAGTTGTGACTCGTGCACTTTGTCAAGTTGGAAGGCGCACTGAAGCAGGTGAGTGATGAACAGGTGCGCTGAAGGGCAAGTGAACCAGTTGGGCAGGTGCATCTCAGCGAGCAGGTGAATCCTACAAGCAGGCGAGCCCAAGCTCAGGTCAGGGAGCACAGGGCTGGTTCTACAAGGGAGTGGCCCTGGCCCTGGATGCAGGCCACTGGTCCAAGAAGAAGGTAGTCCTGGCCACAGAAAAGGCCACTTGCTCTCAGGAGGGTTTGGTGTCGGCCTACGCCAGCTTATTGCCATTTCCCTCTGGTGAGTCTCAGTGAGTGAAGATGGGTCAGAACCTAGCTGGGCTGAGGGTTCCCACTGGAACTGGGGTCCCAGAACTCCACACAGAATGGGACCCTTGAGACACAGGTGCACAGGACAGTCAGGGTTGGTCCATAGTTGAGCATGGGCCCTTCTGTCATCTCAGGGTCTCAGCATGGTCTAAGTCCCCCAAATGATACTCAAGAGCGCCCCACCTGTTGTGAAGACCGTAGGGATCTGTAGTGCTGGGGGCACCACCCTATGATAGGGGAGCCTGGGGTCAAGGGTGTAGGGTGCTGGGGGAGGGATGGGTGTAGGGCAGGCAGGCGTGGAGGCTGCTCAGGCTGGTTGTGCTTGTTTCTGGTTGGTTTGTTGACAAAAATCTATCAGCTGGAAGGAGTAGGAATCCTTCCTGGGGTTCCCTGAGCCTGGTGAGGATCCACCTTGTGAGCCTCTCCTGCCCAGGTCTCATGCCAATTTCAGCAGATGTTGGGTACTTCTGATAGCAGGCACCGGTTACTGCTGTGCTAGTGTGCCCGTAGGTGTTCCAATTTTCCAGCCAGAATCACAGACTCCCCTGGGTGTGGTGACAACCCCAGGGGAAGGTCAAAGGCAGGGCATCATGCACCTTTGGGGTACGTTTCCAAAAAAACATGCATTAGACGCATGCCTCGATCCACCAGCTTCACCTCTTGGACTTGTACAGGGTACTCCACACGACGACAACACCGTGTGCATTCTTTTGCAGTGCACACGGGACATACTCAAAATAGGCCACAGCTTAAGCCACAAAGCACACCTTCATAAATTCAAAAACAGTTGAGGTCTTATGATTCATATTCTCAGATCACAGCTCCAGGAGACACACAGTTCTGCCTCCACCTTACCGGGTACACTGCCCCACACTCAGTTTAATTGGTTGAGCTTAATTCTACTATGTACGTTTCCCAGCCATATAGAGTGAAAATGGCCTCTTGGTGTATTCCTGTGTACTTCCTTGATTCCAGACAAAATTGGCAGCTGGATTTTACTTTTGTGTGAGTTACTTCTATACAAGATTCGGTCCCGAGCTCTCCATACGCGCTTGCTCTGTATTACAGTTCTGGGTTGCTGGCTGTCGACAAGTTGGCTGCAGCACATGGTGGCCTTCTGCATTGACCCGGCAGCATTACCAGCCTGGCTGCACCTCTCTGATGAGATTTCTGAGCCATCGCCGGGGATATGGTGACAACCGAACTTGTTATTGCTGGCTCTCTACCAACCGTGATGCCCTGTGCTGGTGATTGTTACCTGATGGTGTGTCCATGTACGCAAGATGCAGTCAAAGGGTCATTCCGCTCGCATTTCTTATGAGACGGGTTTGTTCATTCTCCTGGAAGCCCAGGAAATAGACTATGTTCTTTTCCAAAACAACAAAGGTGTCATTTTTTCAGTCTCCGTTTTTCCTCGTCCAGTGTTCACATGGACCTGAAGCGGTTGAAAGGACTATGGCTTAGCGCAGGTGACCTTTAGTCATCAAAGTGGCATGTTTGCTTTGTATAACTGTCACGTTGTCTTTTGCAGCAGATTTGCCCAGTGCAGTCAACGCACCGTTCTGGAGCCTTAATGGCCCCTCAAGGGAGTGAAGCTCTCCCTCTGTTCATTGGGATGATGCTGGTCCAGCTGTGAGAACTTTTGTGTTCTTTATTCTGGGGTGTAGGCAAGGAAGATTGTGACATTCGCATGTCACAGATTGTTAATGAATCTTCTTCCAATCCTCTGTTCTTCATGCAGCCCAACCTCTTGGATTATTTTATCCACAAACAAACTGGGACGGTCGGTGAAAGGGTACGGTTGTGAGGCACGCCTTTTCTAGTGTGGAGCCATGTGGTATCCTTGCTCCACTTCAGTGGGGCCTCTGGATCCTTGTACGGATTCCACGTGGGTACAGTCAAATGTTCTGGAATTCCCATTCTTAATATGCTTTTATGTGGTGAGGTTTGCCATGTAATTTCTGGTTGTGTATCATATTTAGAAAGGCCTCCATCCCCAAGATTATAAAAATATCCTCCAGTGCTTTCCATAGTATTTTATTTTTGTTTGGCTAGAATCTAGTAGAATTTTTTTGCACACAGCGCAGAGTAACACGTAGGTTTTCTTTAGCGCAGTGCATCAATAAGGCAACTGTGAAAGGAATGGCAGAAGGACTCTGCCGCAGTGTGCATAGACTTGTTCCCATCGAAGCGTGTGACTGCGTCTGGGGTCACAGGATGGCTGCAGACAAGGTTTCTCAGTCCCTTGTCCTGGGCTTCTTAGGGCGCCTTAAAAAAACAGGACACACTTTTTTGTGCCATGGGGGAAGGAATTTGAGATCAAGGCTAATGCCAAAATTTTAAGGATACCCAAGTGGCTAGCTTCCTAAATAATCGAAGTTTTTCAACAGTCTTTTGGGACATGTCCACCTAAAGCTGGATTTTAGATGGATCAAGCAATTTAAGGTCTGCGAGACCTCAAAGAGGAGGCAGGAGGAGAAGGCATTCCACCGCGGTGAAGGAAGAAACTGGCTGGCGTCCGAGACCTTGGTCCGACCGTCGCTGTCCCAGCCACTTGGGTTCGCTCTCATGTGGCTCTACCGTTTTCAACTTTAAGCAGACTTCTTGTTCTCAACCAGTCTTCAACTCGGGGGTTGCCAAACGTGTGATGGCCACTCACTGACAGCTAATCTTTCCACCAGTCCATTAAGCACGCATGAAGTTAATGACAGTCTTTTCCAATGACTCATAACCAGGGCGACTCCAGAACCTACCCCCTCCGTCTCAGAGATTTCTAAGGCCCATCAGCAGCGGCTTCCAAGGAGATCTGCTGGGCCACTTGAAGGTAAGAAGCTCACCTCATAGTGGCGGCAACATTTTTAGGATTGTCAGACGGACACAGGGTGATCATGGGAGAAATTATCAGGGAAAAGCTTAAGGACATTGAAAACGACTTTGGTGAGAAAAGGCTAAAAGGTTGCCCGGAGGAACTCCTTCCCGTCCCCATAGCGCCTGCCCGCTCTCAGCAGGAAGCAAAGGCTGTCAGGTGAGAATGCACCTGAGGCCTTACCCGCCCTCGGACTTCTTTTCGTTCCTCATACTCAGCACATTGAAAAAGGGTCCTCCCTTGAGGATCCTGAAACTGCTGTGTTGATGTCCTTAAGTGAAGAGCACAAACCTGGGGGGAGGGGTGGGGGAGCGTCGGAGAGGTGGACCCGCTGCCTTCAGAAGTGTGCAGACCCAGGGCCGGATATGTTGAGAACCAACAGCTTTGTGGTTTGGCGTTTTAGTTTAGCAAAGATTCCTATGATTTTGTACTTTTTGAGAAGCCCTCATACGATGAGATACACAGCTCTTTGGTGTATTGCTTGCGCTGCAGAGAGTGTTTGACTTATATAAAAGATGACCTAGAAGATAAGGAGGTTTCTGTCCCCGGGGCATTATCTTCTGTTTCTTCCCTGTCAGTCCCCACCTGAAAGACAACCCCTTCAGACTTCCTGCCCGATGGGGCAGCTTTTACTGTTGGCACACGTAGATGGCACAGTACGGAAGGCTCTCTAGTTGAGTCTTTTGCTTAGATTTCATTGCTCACATTTTGTGGAACATCAGTGTATTTATTGCTGGAGAGAATTCCACACCACGGCTGTATCAAAATTTGTTTACTGAGTCTCCTGTGGGTGTATATTTGGGCTGTTTGTAATTTTTGTTAT